GTGAAACAGCTCTTGCATAGGGGTTCGACGGAGGGCAACAAATGACTTGAGTCGGCGCACCCGTGCCAGGCCAGGCCAGGGCTATATAGCTTAAAAAAAAAGGAGGCTCAAGAAGCTGCCCTGGACCCTGGACAAACATTTAAAATTTTTAAAAGGAAGAAAGGTTGAAAAAAAAAAAAAAAATCTTTCAACCGCACGCACGGATTGAGAGAACAAGAACCCTGTTCGGGTTCAGCCGCGATCAGTTTGCGAGGTACCCCCTGGCTTGCACTTGTGGCACTGCAGCATTTCGTTGTCTCTTCTCTTCCGGTCTGTTGCTCCCAGCCTCCATCCGGCCCCAGATCCTGAGCACTGGTACCTACTGTATAAGTGAGAGAAGAAGAGGAGGCAGATGGGATGTGTTGTCACCCGGCGGATCCAGACAGAAATCCCTGCAATAGCATCAAGCCCGCTTCTTTGTTCTTCTTCCATCCTTCTAGTACTACGAAATGTCGGAGAGCCATCTACCAAAAGAACCACTCTAGTAGACACTTGTACACGCAGCTTCAAAACACACCGGTCTGGCGACGTGCATCCGGGTAAGAGGCTTCACGCATCCAGAGCGCGGCGCTAGGCCCCGATCCGGGGGGGCTAGTAAGGGCTTGGTGAGAGCTTCACAGCAAGTGTTGCTGGCTAATGCTGGATCAAGAAGCTTGTTCCTCTAGTACCGAGTACTGGTACCAGATATACTTGCTGGAGTATACCTACGTGGACTGTGGCATGTCACCACGGCGTCTTGCCCATCTCTGCGTCTCGACATGTACTGGTGCATTGCGTCTTTCTCCGGGTTCGCTTTGCTGGCAGTGTGTTTGTGTTTGCTTCCGAGGCGCAGGTATTACCGATACTCGCACAAGCAATCAGCCCAGCTAGCATCATGGAGGATCGAGTTCCAAGTAGTGGTACAAGGACAGTATACAAGGCCATGACCCTACCACAATGTCACCTGAATGGCCAGCGATGCCGGCATCTACAAGAGGCCCCATAACTCCCAGCACCAGGCGTCGTGCCCTTGTACCGCGACCAGGACGGGAATAAGCATCAATGGAGTACATGTAGTCCACAGGTAGTCTACTGTACATGGGCATCTCCCCGAGTTTCCTCCCCGCCGTCCGTCTTCCCCGGGGGCTCAAGATTCTGCTTGCTCCAGATGACTGCTTCCTCGCTTTTCGCCCTCGCCGTCTCCATAGTATGTCGGCGCATTTGCAAAGGCGGTGGGCGACGAGATGCTGCTGCTTGCATGTGTCTTTGGACGAGTCGGTGTCTCTAGCAATTTCGTTCAAAACTGACAGCGAGGATGGCTTAAGCCATGCCATGTGTGTGTGTGTGTGTATCGCATTCGCTTGCAGCATGTACCGGTACATGTATTTTGGAGTAAGCCGGATTCAACTGTATGGAGGGATGGTAGCAGCACGAAAACAAAGATTCCGACCAACTACGGGGAAAAGAAGAGACAAGAGACGTAAAAAATATCCGAAAGAGAATAGTAGTATGTAGTACTGTATAGCAGGTGTTTCTCACACGATGCCGGTTGTAGCAGCAATCGGTGATGCGGCTGCTGCTTCCATTGGACAGCGCCGGCGAGCGTCAACAATTGGATCAAATGATATCACAACGGCCTCGCTGATGCTGCTAGCAGTGCTCATCCTCACATGTGCATTAGCATCAACGACGGTCAACTCAACTGACTGGTATCGGCAGGGTTCGTCAGCTACAGCCGCCCCTTTGGTTGCATCTGCACCACGTCAGAAGGGCTGGCCATCTATCGCTGCCTCACGTGCGGCGCATCACGCCGGTAGGACTTGACCAAAACAGTCTGCCTCGGCCAGTGGTTTTTTCTGAGCAGCGGGGCCAGTTCCAATCCTGGACAGGGTGCTTGTTTGCTGGGCTGGCTGTTTGAAGTGAGTCAAGTCACAGCCCAGCCAGCCCAGCCCCTAGGCCTAGCCTGACCTCGTTCGAGGGCAGCTGTTTGTGCCAGAGCCGGTGTGTCGCTTCCCAATGGCGCCCATTGCCTTGGCCGGGCATTTTCTGGGTCTTGTCTGGCGGCTGCTTTGCTTTGCTGGCGCTCAGCCTCTACTTGTAGATACATTCAAGACAGATACGTGCGTGTGTTGTAAGTGAGGCCATGTTGCTTCCGGATGATTGGCCCAAACCGGACAACGTCGAGTTGGTTGGCAGCCACCTCACACCTCACAGCGCAGGGAACCGCTCGCGCAGAAGCGAAATCTGGATCTCGTTTACCGGTTCGGAGCAGCAGACAAGCAGAGGAGCAAAAACAAGTAAATGGGTGTCCCGCCTAAACTGTCCTCTACGTCGCCCGCGGGGGGGGTTGGTTGCGAAAAGGCGGGTGGAGGAGAGGCTGGACGGGCGGCATGCATGCGAGCTGCGTTGCGAGCCGCTTGTAGAGCCTTTTTGGAGGAGCTGCAGCAGCTGCATCTGCAGCAGGAAGCGAAGCCTGCTTTGTGCTGTTTGCTGTTTGACTTGCTGCGGAGCCACCAAAGACGAGAGGCAGAGCAGCTCGCTTTGATGTCAGGAATCACACCGGCTGTTCAGGCGAGGGCGGCAACACGTGGACTTGCGCTTGGCCGGAGGGGCAGTAGCCGAGGATGTGTGAATCAAGTCAAGAGAAGTGAATGAATGAATGAATAATGGATGCTCTGGAGAGTAGACCAATTCTCCAATTCTTTTGGGCATGATGGCGGGTGGTTGGAGAGGGGAAACATGATGATGATGCTGGAGATGATGGCAGCGTGATGGCGATCGATCATGAGCGTCAACTGGGCCTCTTGTGGGAATTGCATTTGATGGCGAATGAGCATGTCCGGCAACCATATTTGGTGTATTGTATTTAGTCATAATGGGTATCGACGTGTATGCAGCGCCGGGATGGTGTGCACTCAATTGCATGTGCTGATTCCATCATGGAAGTCGCCAACAGCAGTAGAAATTAGCGGTGCATCTGCCACTGAAAAGCCCCGATGCCTTCCGCTGAGAGCCCGATCTGGCCGTGCACGCACTGAAGCGGCTGCTGAGGTTTCTGTGCATGTAGCGATACCTGGTCCATGGCATCGCACACAATCGAATCCACTCACACAGATTCTCTCTGCTCTCTCATTCTCTCTACCGCGCGCATACGACAACAATCAACAATCAATAACGTAGCAGCCGTAGCAACACACCCTTCATTGGCGCTTGATATTGTCATCTCACTTTCACATCTCCGCGGTTGCAGTATCAAGACGTCTTCACTCAAGACCAGGTACTTCAGATGCTGTGACTAGAAGCCGAAGCGCTCAAGCAGCATCGTCGACGCCGGCGCTTAAGGCCGATCATCTTCAGCGTCCCGACGTGCCGCTGTGATTATACCTCTAAATGTTCATGTTTCTTTTCTTAGACCAGTTGACGAGGTCTCGTGCTGTCTGCTGGCTCTAGCGCCCAAACTCCCAACATTCGCCCTCTTCTGATGATTTTTCTCACTCGCTGCTCTTTCGCCTTCCGCTATCCAACTGGCCTAAATGCTTACTAACTTGTGCGTGCTTGTAACTCTACCTCCCATTGTAGCCGAGCCAGCAGCGAAATTTTTTCCAATTTTTTTTCCAATTTTTTTCGCCGCCACCAAAAAAGGACCAGACCCCAAATCTACGGCTGACTGATACACCCAAAAAAAGAGACAAGGGAAAAGAACATGGCAAAGCACCGCCCCTCCTCTGTAAAAAGCGCCCCCTCCAGGCTCTCCCAGCTTCCCAAGTCATGACTGGTACCGGGCCTGTGCGCGCAACATGGCGATGAAATGGGGTATCCGATACCAGCCCCGCCGCGGCTTTGCTGGCAGTGCTTCCGGGTCTGTGGTACAATTGCAAAGTACCAGGACATGTACGCAGACCGCCGGGAGCTGTAGACAGAAAGACTGGATGCATTAGTGATTTGATTATTGCATGTACAGCGCAGCACTGCACAGCACAGCGCTGGGTGGACTGATGGATGGAGGGGAAATGATGAATGCAAGTTTTTGATGTAGTCTCAGGTGAGAGGAGACGCAGATGCGGATGGATGCGGTGCTTTGGAGGGGACGCAGACTCTGTATCTGGTGCTTCTGCTTGTGCAAGTACCTCTACTTGCGCCGGTACAAACGGGCTTCTGGTGCTTCTACGGCGCCCATTGTCCACAGCAGGCAGCGCAGACACGCCACGCCACCCTTTTCCCCAGCAGCAACGGCCACCCGACCCCACTGGCCGCGAGAGGACTGAAGCATCCCCCAGCCAGGTATCCCGCCAGGTATCCAGCCAGGTATCGGTACCCAAGGGCCGCCCAGGGCCCCTGCTGGTCCCGGTACCCGTCCTCGACTTGTACCCGTTGGGTCCCAAGAACGGTGCTACCCACCTGCCACCCACGCTAATGCGCTAATGCGCTACGAGAGCCCGAGCCCAGGCGCTTGCAATGGCGCTCCAACCCTGCGCGCTCCACTGTCGCTGGCGCTGGGCTGCCACCACAGCAGACTGCGACCACACGGCCGGAGCCCTTTTAGCCTTGCTGCGAAAGCATGACGGCTCCACCAGCGCTGCCATTCCGTGACTGCTTTTTTATTTTTTAACTTCTTTGCTCCCGCCCGCCTCGACCGACTCTCGTTTCCCCCCTCAGATGCCGGATCGTGATACTGAACACGCATAGAATCGAGCCATTGCTTCTTTGTTTCTCGCTGTGCTGGAGCTGTTTTCTGCGGCAGACGAGTGTTCACGACCTGTCTCGCACGTCCCCCCTACGACTCCGGTACCTTTGACTGCGCGCAAACCAACACGCACTACTTGCTGCTTACCGTATACGACCAAGTACACGCATACACACACACCCACGCATACAAAAAACATCTATATTTACCGCCTCTGTCTGTGTCGATCGCGTTCCGTCTTGAACTCTGCGCCGCCGACAACGCTAGACCGACGTCCTCGCCGCCGTGGGAGGGAGGCATGTCGCCCCAGCTGAAGGAACTGCTTCTACCGCAGTTTGTGCAGGACCGCAAGAGCAGTGCCATGGACGAGGCCCTGGAAGGCTGCGACCTCTCATACGTCTACTACACCACCGACTCGTCCTCGTCGGACATTGCTTCGCCCCTGACGCCCACCTTTTCCAACCGAGGAGGAGTCCCCCTCCGCTACTCGAGCTCGACGTCGTCTCTCGAGCTGCCAGCACTGCCGCAGGAAGGCCCTGCTTCGCCCATTGCCCAGCATGCCGCCGCTTCCAAGTCGAGCATCCGCCAGCTGCCTGATGTGCAGGAGGAGCCGCTGGAACGAGAGCAGGAATACGATGAGGAGGAATACGACGATGACGACGACAACTTGAGCGACACGTTTGGCATGTACTGTCTATGTAAGTTGGAGCAACAAGATTGATGACTGCGGCGAAGAGGCTGGCTGGCTAACCCATTTCCCCACTCCTCACAGGCGACCAAGCATGCGAGCACCAAGATGCCTCCCGAGAGCTTCTGCGAAACGAAATCACGGGCGAGTATGACATTGACTACGACATGGGCTTCCTCAGCGACAGCGACTTCTCCGGCGACGCGCAATTCTCCAGGAAGAAGCGTCACATCAGCGGCGAGGCCCTGGCCGCCCTCTCCTCGCGGATTGGCAGCCGCTTCCCCAGCATCGCCCGATGGACGTCCCAGCGCAAGGCAAACAGCATCACGGGCCTCATGGCCTCGCCCACCACCGAGCGCAGCCTCGAAAACGTGCTCTCTGGCGCCGAGAGCAGCCGCTCGTCGTCCATGTCGTCGCCCGCCCGCCAATTCCCCGTCCTGCTGGACGACTCCTCGCCCATGCCCCCGCCGGCCATGCCCTTCTACGAGAGCACCGACAGCCTGGATATGCACGCGGGCGAATTCAGCCGCGAGGAGCGGTCAGGCATTGAGCGTGACAGGGCCATGGCCACGACCCCCCTGCTGCCTCCGCTCATGACCGACCCGCTCGGAAAGCCTCCGCTGCCATTGTCTCCTCTGGAGTCGCCCAGCGTGGCTCCGTCCTCGGCCGTCACGGAGGTCCACTCGCCTCGCATCATCCCGACCCCGAGACAATCCATCGGCTCCAAGCCGTCCATGACATCGTTGCGCCAGGCGTCTATTCTGACGGAGCTGCCGCTGCCGCTGCCGCCGTCCATCCTGCTGGACCAGGACGAGTGGTCCGACCGCCTGGGCCACGCCAACTTCACCATCAACCCCGCGCCCTACGGCATCAGCGAGATCAATGCCGTCACCGTCAACAAGTTCTGCGACGACTGGGATGCCGCGCGTGTGGCCTACACCAAGCACCTCGTTCGCACCGGCGAGCACTACGGCCAGACGAGCAAGATCTACGCCTTGACTGAGGCCAAGTGGGCCGAGACGGAGCGCAAGTGGAAGGGTTACTACTCAGACATTGCACGCGAGATGCAGGTCAATGTCAAACGCTCTTCCTCGGTGCTGTCTCGCAGCCGCAGCCGAGGCCGGGGACGCGGCCGCTCTGAGAGCGCCAACCCGGTGGGCAAAAGCCGGAGCCGCCAGGACAACGAAGACCTCCTCGTGGTCATGGAATGGCGGGGCAGAAAGGGCTGCTTGCCTAGCGCTGTGCCTCAGATGCTGGAGGCCTTGGACGCTGATGGCAAGTTTCCTCACCGCGGCGACGAGGACATTGTCGGGCCCATGCATCGTGTTCCCTACATGAAGCGGGCCCGAAGCGAGGAGAAGACGCCACGATTCTGGAAGAACCTGGCAGAGAAGCTTCGACTCTGATTTTTTTTTAACATCTCCTGTTTAATGTTTGCGGAGATTTTTTTTTTCTTCTCTTTTCATTCTACGACTTGACGACCAAAACCGAAACCATAGACCTGCAGCGCCGGCAAAACAACCATGAACATTGTCTCACGCGAAAAAAAACTTATGTCATTTGTTTTTTTTGACGCCCTATTATTTAATACGATATGATACCCGACTCTAGTCACTCATTTTGATACCCAACAACCACCAACCATACCAAACCACGATCACTACAACCATCGCAGCGCCAGTCGCAGCAGCAACATCACCATGAGAATGATTGGACTCCCTTGCTTTCGTCTCTCGCTTTCTGAGCAAGCTTTGCCTTGTCTAGTCCAGCCATGACGGCGACAACGACAATTTCCACAAAACTTTGTCTGGCTGGGTAAGCGAGCGAGGATTCGACTGCAACCATCTCTCAACCCTTGTTTTCTCTACATGCTCTTTTCATCATGTTACATAGACCACACACCCACCTGTATATAAGCGGGGTCGGCGTTTGATCAGGCAACCATGATTGGCGAAGAAAAGCGTTCATGATTTCTTGCTATCCATTTTCCGCTTCCTATTAGACACGACAACGACACGACACGACATGACACAATGGACACCTACCATTTACAAGCTGCGCTACATTATACATTACATACATACAAAAAAACACACACACAACACGCACCCACCCCAATCTGGGCGGGGAAATGCGACATGCATAGCACCTTTGGAGTTATTTTTTTTTAATGCTTTACTTTGCTTTGCTCTACTTTACTTTCCCCGATTTTTGGGGGAAGCTCTTTTGGTCCTAGCTAGTCATATGGCCAACGTCAGACTACGTGAGTAGCTTTGATCTAGCTGGGGAGCCGTCGGAGATTTTGCATGACGAGTAAAGCACTAGAAACTGGTTTTCAACGAAAAAGTAGAGAGATGATGCATCAACTGAGGAAAAGATGTCATTTGAAGAATTTTTTTTGAAAGATGAGGCCGAAAAAAGAAAGGAGCCTAATTGATGAGGAAAGACATAGAAGGAATGAAAATGGCATTGGATAGCGAGCGATAGCTTTTTTTTTTTTCTTTTTATTTAAATAATTATCCATCTTGTACTATGAATATAACGGAAATATGGGATTTGTCTACCAGCTTTGCTCTTTTGATGATTTTGTGAATGACTGATGCAATGCGATGCGATGCCACGCTACAGTAAGCCGGGGGTGGGATGGTTGACTGGAGGGACAAAGGGAAAAAGCTGGGGTTGGCCGTGGAGAATGATGCAATGGAGCTCTTTAGCTGCACGAGCTACGATGAGCTTTGAGGTGCTGCACTACACTGTGACGAGTCTAGTTGATGTTGTAGCAGGTGAGAAGCTCGATTAGCTGCGTCGAATGATGTTGGTGCGAGACTTGAGTGATGGCAGCGGTACTTTGGTGGGCGTAGTAGCTGGATGCTAGAAGTTGCGGTACTTGTACGTGACCTACTTATGCTTGGTTGTAGAAGGTAGGTAGGTTGGTATGTGGTGGGGATGGGTGTTGTGAGAGTTTTTTTGGACCGGATTTTCTTAGTCTTGGTGGTTTAGGTAGGTAGGCATGTTACCTACCGCATTCATTGGTTTGCTGAATTGGCTGGTGCTTACTGGGTTGGATTTTAAAATTTCTGCTGGTCGGGGGAAAAGGTTTGTGTGTTTGTGCTGGGAGTTGCGGATGGGCGGATGAGCGGATACACGGATGGAGATGATGGGATTCGTGGTGTTTTTTGCTTGGGCGTGAGTTGTGTGATGTTGATGGATGGAGTACATGGTTATACCTACATATAAGGAGATACTAGGCAGCTACTTTTTGCGTAGAGCGATAACTGACGATGCGGTATGTAAGTAAGACGTAGGTCTTTCGCTTGCATGTACGTCCATACTAAAGTGGCATACTATTAGGTATTGAGAAGCCCCCGCCGGTGAGACTGTCGTATTGCGGGGAAATCAAGCATGTTTTTTTTGATGGCGGATAGACCGACAATGCGATGGATGGAGCAGTGTCCCTTCCCATGGTTTCGGAAAGGTGATGAATTGGATGCGACGTAGATGATGGATGACTCTTTTTGATAAGTTTTTTTTGTGGGATTGATGGAGTTGAAGGGATGTTTTTGTGTGTACCCGAGTGGCGATGTGTGCCCAAGGCTGGTCTGGCGGTGGAGAGGTTGTAAGCGGTGGGGGATTGATAGCAGATTTGCAACGGTGGAAAGAATGAGTGTCTTTGGATTCTGTTGAATAGGTAATATTTATACCAATTTGAGCAGTTCCTTGTCTATGGTGATCTCTTTTGCTTTTCTTTTAGGAGCAGATCCTGGCGGTGTCATTTTTGCAGTCTCGCCCATGTCTCCCGCTGTCTATCTATACTCATAAGCAGATGTGGAGTATGCAGTGACAGCGCTTTGGCTGATGGACATGTGGCTCGCGTGGCTCTTTAATGGAAAGCTGGGGCTTGATGCTTGAAGGGCGAGATGACGGCGATTGCTCGGTGTTTTGGAGCTGTACGCTGTAAGTTGCATATACATACATTAACATTGTCCTATCATTCACCGGAGACCACTTGTACACTCCGCACGATGGTACTTGTATGCAACTGCATGCAAATATAACGCAGTATGTAGACATAGATAGAATACATACCCATATCGAGCATATCAAAACTCAAACGACTTGGTTGGCGAGTCGATGCACCGCGTCGGAAGCGGGTGCCCGCCGCAGCGCCGTTTCGCGTATACGACCCCCCCTTTAGTACATGTATTGTACACAACGTCGTTTCCCGGTAATAGATTAACCCTTGTTTACTTTTATATTCCTTTCATCGTTCCTTTTCTTCCTTTATTCGATACGGGTATGTACTTGGATGGTGCCCAGGTGTAAGTTGATTCGCTGCTGCGGCGTGGGCGGGAGGACAGAGGGTGGCCACGTGGCGGTGACATGTCTCGTGTTGTTTGCATCGAGTTTTGTGTATATCTGATATGATAGAATCATGTTTGATTGGTAGTGAAGCTTACTTGCAAAGTGTAGTGAATGACCATTGTAAATGGCACCTATCAAGAGGCTACGGTTTAGCATGAGCAGTTGGGCATGAAGTGTGGTAGAGATATTTTATGCACTGCGGGCAGTTATTATGGCTAGATGGAATCATGTTAAAATGTCCATATGATTGAAGAAAACTTGGGCATGTTTAGCCTAATTCAAGCCAGAGACAGCGAGGGCTTGCAGTATACATGTACTTGTACGATCCACACCTTTCAGAGTATCAATACATCATCGTCTTCCCTACGGTGACACCAGCGGCGCATTAACAGTATCAAGCAAAGAAGAAACCGTCCGATACTTGCCCCAGGCCAACTGGCTCGTAACACCACAGGTGGTCTGCTCTCACTACCTTACTGTGGCTTCACCGCAGCGGCGTGTTTTCGCTTCAGGAATGCATGATTGGATATGCAGTGAAGGCTACTGCGTGGAGGGCGGTACAGGCGCAGGTTTGTGTCCCGGTAGATGCGTCGGTGAATTTTGTTTGATGGGAGGGGGGATGCATAATGCCGAGGGGAGAGTGAATGGTTGGAGGATTAGACGGGTTTGTGTGACCTGTTGATTGATAGTCTTGGTGACTGAATTGTATTGGAGAGGAGAATGGCTTTGCTTTGGTTGAGGGTTGCAGAAGTAGAGTCGATAGATGGAGGCCCTAGTGAATGATCTATAGTTGAGGCCTCTTTTCTTTAGGGCTCAGACAATAAGCATTGCAATAAGAAAAGAACAGCAGGAACCTACGTTGGAAGTATTCTCCTGTCCTCCGCTTAGCTAGTACCATGGGCACAGACGTGTGCTTCAAATGTAGTGCCATTCTCTCGTAAAGTTTCAGGGTCTTCGCATTCTATATACATCTCATCACTTTTTGCATGCGCATTGTATCTCGAGGCCAATTGCATGTATTTACAGTATATACATATTCTTCCTCCAACGGTTGGGGGAACTAACGTATGTACTGGCGAGAGTTGGCAGCCGATGCATGCCAGCCCGGTGATCAGACATTCTTGTGAGAAACTGATACTGGATCGGGGCTGAAACTTGTTTATTTTTTGTCGTATGCTAGTATGAACATTTATAAGCACTCAAGTAGGATTGCTGCATCTTTATGTGTAAATATCATGACTGTTGCTGTTGAGGCTTTTCTCATGTCGCCGTTGGTCATTTGGGCAGCGAAACCTGCTATACAGTAATGAATTCTTTTAAACGCTCAAAAATTAAAACTCATCTTCCTTCAAACATTGACCTTTGTTTCTCTTCCTTTCTCTCCTTTTCTTTTCAGTAATACTAAGTCTGAGTCCGTTGCTTGTTATGTGGCTACCCTTTTACGAGTGGAGAGACGAACTGCTCCATGAGAATACGAATTGTAATTTCTGTTATTAGCTCGGACAGGAACATATACATATTTCATCTAACATTTCACGTTATCAAGTTACAAAAATATTCTCCAGCCCTCCGGCTATGGCATAGGCTACTGATGCTACTAATGCTACTGCTGCTCCTGCTGCTACTGCTGCTACTGCTACTTATATATATGTAGCACATAAACAAAAATTACATACAATACTGCGTTATTAAGCTGCAGCTAGCGTATTAGATAATGGAACTGGAATGCTGGATATTTTCTCCCTTCAATTAGCCTTATGTAACGCCAACTCGAAAAGCCCACATATGGCAGTTTTATCAGTTTGGTGAATGACCCCTGAAGTCTACGCGAATAAAAAAAGCAGCCACACCTGGGAATACAAAACTTATAGAGGCGATATTATGTGAATTACATCTCAAGCTTGACAATTCAAGAGACAGATGACGGAGCTGAACATGAACATAAACATGAACACGAAAGTGAAAGCCGCTGGCAAACGGTGCCTGCCGGACGCGGTGGCAGAACTCCTCTCTTATTATCTTTTCCTCACACCCAATCCCTTTTTAATCTTGTTCTTCTCGCCATCTCTCTTATTTATCTCCAACTTGTCATCTTTTTCTGGATTCCCTTCACACGCCAAATTGTTTGATGCTGCAGCTATGGATGATACACGCGTCAATATCGACCCCGATGGAGATACACTAATACTTCTTCCACCCGACCAAAAATTTGGCAGCCAAAATAACATCAAGAACCACAGAAGGCACTTTTTTAAAGTATCAATGAAGCAGCTCTTGAAAGCTTCTTCTTACGTAAAATACAGATTAGATGGGCCATTTCAAGAGATAAAGCCGCAAGCCGACGGTCTCCGATACTGGAAGTTTGATCCCATATTTGATCCAGAAGCTTTCAAAATTGTGATGAGCATTTTTCATGCACAGTTCAGAGAAATTCCCGATATAGTATCTCTGGAGATGCTGTCGAACATTGCGCTTATTGTTGATGAGTTAAGATGTGCAGTGTCAGTCCGCCATGTTGGGAAACTTTGGCTTACAGAACTTGATAAGGACATTGATCCTGACGAAGATGTGGAATACGACGGTATTACTTGTGCGCGCAATATTTTTATCTCCGAAATTTTTGGGCTTAGAGATAGAACTGAATGGGCGGGTAAGATGGCAATATTTTGGTCTCCTGACATTTATTCGAGATTCGAGTTACCAATTCATCCGTATATTCCAAGTAAGGAACCACTCAAGAGAGTTCTCTTAGTTAAAAGCTGACAAGCCGCAGGCATTTTGAGCCAAACCCGCTGCTCCATGCTACAGAGTGCGGCAGTAGAGCTTCAGGCTCTTATGAACCAAGTGATGAGCGATCATACACTGTGTTTTCTCTGCAGATCAGCAGCTGTGGGGGCATTCATCACAAATATTCACATAAATAAACTCTCTCGAGAGGATATGCCGGCTCGGTCAGATAAACTTTCTTGGAAGGCTTTCTGCAAAACAGTAAGGAGCTTCGAATACCCAAGTTGGGCTGCATGTAAGGCTAGCGCGAAAGGGCATATTGATTTGAAGGAGAGGGTATCTCGTTGCCTTGACAAATGTGAGAATGCTCCACGGGATGTGGGGTTTCCATGGATAGGGAAATAATAACTCAGAGATGTCGACATAAAGTCTCTGTATGGGTTAGTGGTGGCGGATAGGGTATGACACGGCAGTTGCAACAACAAAGAGAAATGTCATCAATAAGAGCAAATGAATAGATATCTAGGAGGCAATCAATTTAAGAGTTTACTTTTTGGGAAAAGTTTCCTAGAGCTCTGGTTATAGTATAAACTACTGCTGCTACTGCTTCTAGGTGTAAATGAGAATTAAAAAGTGCATTTTATATATACATGTAGACCAACTGCTTTGTTGAGCTCCAGCTGGAATGCTGTAATACGACTTGGGGGCTGAAAATAGAACTGGGGTGCTGGAAAACTTTTCTCTAATTATCCAGCACCCAAATTCTATTATCCAACCCCCCAGCTGTGGCTCAATAAGGCAGTCAGCGTATATAGAAATATTTGGCCACGTGTACTATTTATATAGGCAAGTAGTGGCAGTTGCAGTAGTAGCCTACACTACGGAGGCATGTAGCTAGAGTGCTGGATAATAGAACTAGGGTGCTGGATGACTACTCCCAAATTAAAACTAGGAGCTCACAAAGGCCTATCGACTGTCCAAGGTGGAATGCAGTTGTGCTCAGCATATATATCAAGATCAGCTTTAGAATGAGCTAGTTATTGGAACGAACCGGGTCTTCATATCAAATTCACAAGATACATTACATAACTCTCATGCATAGTGAAGAGCATGGCTGGAAAGAATTAGCTAGCTGCCAAGTGTTATTGGTATATTTGGATAGCTAGTGGCAACTTAAACTCTTGGGGTAATGTGGTTTCACCATGGGAGGATTATGTATACTATTATGCTGTAGTCTCAGACTCGGCTCTGGTTGGTTGACAAGATATTAGCATCACATCTTTAGACCAATAGAAACCAAAGCATTTCTATAACATGCTCTCAACACTATAGCTACAACAAAATGATCTCGTTTGGGGTCACATCATATGCACGTACACAGTGGGCGTTCTATAAACTCCCTAATACCCTGGTTATTTCACTTAAATCCTCTAGACGGAAAATCTGAAGTACAGTATTGTTAATCAGCTTTTGTCGTCCCTGGATAACGTAACAGACACAAATAGAAACAACAGTAACTGTTTCCAGAACGCGTCCGTAAAATATCTGCCCAGATTTTCGTATTTTGTTTCCGTGAATTCCGTGGAGGGGTGACTGACGGCCCACCCTCACAGTCAAATAAGGAAACGTCCTTGTGAGATGTCAAGTTACACACCCAAGGATTTGTGTAACTATTCCCAGCCCTCACCAATGACATTGACAGAGCAACATCAATACTACTTGCCATGCTGGCCGGAGTAAACTTCCCTTTTTGAGTCACATGGGTCAGGGGGTGGGAAAATAATCATGAGAGGGATATAAAAAGGTCTCCCTTTTCTGTCAGAAAGATCACCGTGGGCCTTCTTTCTTCAGCATCCGCTTTTGATATCATCCACCCATGCCTTGATAGAACCCCTGCTCACTCCACCCTTTGTTTGCTGTTGCATTCCAGCTATCCTCTTTTTCACAATGTCCCGAGGGAGTGGCAGACTACTGACTCACTTTACGACGGGCGTACGCCCGTCGTAAAGTTGCTCATCGAGATTTGACACCGCCACTTTCTATAGTCACCAGACTATTTATTACGTGGATGGCCCCAAGACCTCTTCTTTCCTGTTTTTCCCCCCATTATCTTTTACTTTTTGCCTTTCAGTCATATCTTTTACAAACTCTTGGCTCTTGGCACTCGGCTCTTGGCTCTTGGCTCGTGGATAGCATGGCAGCATGCATCACGCTGAGTGCTTGTCGAGTGTTTTTAGATTACGTCGCCCATGTGTATGAGATAAGGTGCCGAGAACCGACGAGAGAAACCTGGTACAGTCTCGGCATCAGTCCTGAACTAAAGGATCCTCAAGAAGTCCATCACAAACGGCAAGCACGAGGGTATCATGATGAAAAAAAATTCCAATTCAATAACAATCTGGCAGTCTGGTAATCCTAGTCATGCTAACACTCAAATAAAAAACACACAAAACAGACAAAACAGACAAAAACGGACGAAGCACACAAAAAGCACAAAACAAGCACAAAAACAGTCGCAGCCCTTTTTCCACCCCTCCGTAAAACCAACCAGAAAACAATTCTGTGATATGGATGTGCTGACTTATCAGATGCTCCATGAAGCCAAAGCTTGGCCAAAACGCCCCAAATATGCCCGATGTCCTCCACAACACCATGTTCACCCCGGTAGCCCCCCTTCACGACGTATGAGAGCAGCTCTGAGGTCGGTTACACAGAGTCTAGCATGAAATCGGGATCGTAGGGGTAAGTGTCGCTGCCCGAAGGCTCTTCGGGAAGTGGGTAGGTATACGTGAGGCTCATGTTTTGGAAGTCGTTGCTGAGCAAAGCAGGATCTATGTTGTCTATGTTGGTCATGTCGATATTCGGATAGCCAACAGCTGGATGGCCGATATCTGGCATATGGCTCATATCTGGTATATGGTTGACATCCGGCACTTCTTCGTTCCAGAGCTGATCCAAGCCTTCAAAGCTATCAGTTTGAAAGCTATCGTATTGGAAGCTATCGGTTTGGAAGCTATCAGTTTGAAAGCAATCAGTTTGGAAGCTATCAGTTTGGAAGCTGTCAGTTTGAAAGCTATCAGTCTGAAAGCTATCAGTCTGAAAGCTGTTGTTCCCAAAATCATTGCCGAAACTATAGTCGAACGTTGCTTGGGAGTACTGGTCGAGGACTTGATCGAAATCTTGCTGCTCAGGGGCTTGCTGCCCATAGAATTGTAGTGGTTGCTGAAAAGCTTGCTGCCCAGAGGACGGCCCTGGGGCAGATGAACTTGAAGCAGGGGACTCATCAGGGGAGTCATCAGGGGTCGCATTCCTCCTGGATTGTTTGCGAGGCTTTATGGTGCAGATGTAACACCTCTTCAAGAGGAAGATGACATCCGATCTCACGATCCCACAATACTTGCTGCTGACTTCGTCCCAGGTGGCATCCCACCCTCCATGATCATTGGACATGTGGACTTTTTCCACCACATTCAAGATCTCATCTTCGGTGACAACCACCCTATCCTGGAACTTCCTGCTGCTCTTTCCGCCCTTCCCACTCCTCCAAGGCTTCTTGCCTTTTCCGTTCTTGGCGGGCTTCTCGGGCTTCTCGCTCTTGCCGATGCCCCAGAGGATATGCCTGGCACCGTCCCATTTATAAGTCTTAAACGCGTAGTTTCGTAGAGAGTAGTCACTCTGAGTTTGGGGCTTGGCATCCTTGTCAGCGAGCCATCGTATAAGACTGTGCTTCCTCTCTGCGGATATGTGCTTCTTGTTGGTGTTTTCCTGGAGATATTCCCTAAACTCCCTCTGAACCTCAGGCTCTCTACTGAATGGGTGAAATTCTTGATATTGATTCTCCATCTTAGATTACACAACATACACCCCCACACCATTCTGTCCGGGAGTCTGCGAGTCACCAGCATAGTCATCCCTGGGAATAGTCCCTGAAAAGCTTTTTTTCTGATTGTCTCACATTTCACGCTGCCCGTCAAGAGTCGAATGAAGTGCATTTCTCGACGAGCGGCGTACGCCGCCCATAAAGTGGTCCCTCTCGACGACAGGCGTACGCCGCTTGTCGAGAAGGGCTGTGACTGGCTCGAGCAACGCATGTCTAAGAACCCAAAGCAAAAATCCCACAAAAAAGAAAAGAAATTCGGGGAAGACCTATTTATCAGTAAAAAAAATGAATTTATCTCTCCCAAGCGCTGAATATCCGTGACTTTCATGTCTCAAAAAGCTGTTTGGTCGTCTTTGTGGAGCACACCGACCTACACCGACATACGACCTAGATCAAAAGGAACCTATAATATGCCGCCGCTAAGTAGCCGTGCTGTTTTGTAATGTCTAGGGAAATACGAGAGATTGCAGTAGAGAGGGGTATAATTCAAACTACCAAGGAGTTACATCTAGCCTTTATCAAGTAATATATCGTTGGTCTCGCGAAGTAGGCTCGGCATATGCTCAGCAGATACAATGATATCTAGCAACTCAAACTATCGATAAGAGCATCTTACATGCACTCATTGATCTTCTACATACCATATTGCTGGCCACTGCCCTTCACTACAAGAATTGGTATCGCGACAAGCTTCTAGCATAACTATCATAGAGCAGGCATACTCATCTCCTTGCCATCTATTAAATCACGCTATCGAAATTACTGTCTTACTTATATTGCAAGACAATTTGCGCCCTTTGTAAATCTGTCACAGCAACATTGGTATCTTGTTGCTTTTCTTCTTGATTTCGCCCAAGGCCCTGCTGCCCAACTGCCGTGTTACTTGATGCCCAAACCGCACCGTAAGCGCGCAGTACATACAAACGGAAACGATGCGAACTCTGGGAGAGAGAGAAAAAAACGTAATTTAATATTCAAGATGATTGATTAGCCAGTAAATAGGCAGCTTCAGATCTCAACGCTCTGCTTCCTACTCACGAGACTGCGGCCTGGTGTGGTAGCATTGCGGGCGTCTTGTGCAATTGCGGGCGTCTTGTCCAGCCCTACAGCGAGACAGAGCTGTGTTCAGAATTATTGTTTCATTGAGCATAGCTTCGAGCTAGGTTACCTTCTCCAACAAACTAAGGTTTGATTCCTCTATCGTCTTCTATCTCCTTCCATAGATATGTCTTAGATGCCTCGACTGGGCGTAGGAGACTCTTTGTGCAGCGGCTAGCAGACCGCCAACGCCTTAACTATTTTTGCAGCAAGATACTTGGACAAGCTATTATAATTGGGCGTCTCTGAAGTACCAGATTCTATCCCAGAGTTAAGCGACTATAGCAAAGTGTGACCTCAGAGCCTTGTTTTGTTCTTCCCCTCAGGTCGTTCCACTCACGCGAGCCCCTGTTTCACTTAAACCGATTTTCTGGCCCTGTTAGCTTGTCTGGAAATACGAGCAGTCAGATGAAGTGATGATCACACAGATCAAGGTAACCGATCGGATCATACGGGGCCGTCCCTATGCGGGTAACCCTACCTAGATTCATATACTACTGCTACTAACAATTACCTATATACGAAGCGTTGCCTTTTGGCCTTACAAACTGTGCCTGTAGTTGATACTAGAGCCCGCTGAATACATGGATTCACTGTCCTGTCTTGCTTACGTTGTCCGGGCGCGGATAGCTGCGGTCGAAGCGTCGGCTTTGGCCGCGGTGGAATAGGCCACTGTATCGTGACCGTAATCATTTGAGCTAGAAGGAAAAAGCAAAGAAATAGGCATAACATGATCAAAAATATTACGTCTATGGCTGAAGGAGCATCATGCTGGCTTACTGAAATTTCCTAAGCGTAACGCAGGGCGAATTATTGATGCTGTGACCCTGACCATGTCTTATGAGATCCACCACACCTTTTGCGAGGGGAGAGTTGGAGCTGTCAAGGCGGCAATTTATACATATACAAAGATAATAGGAGCAATACTAGGTACTATAGATGTTAATACCATGAGTATGCGCATTTGATGTATATTTTTGTGCTAATGACTTTTCCTTGCCGGGCTTTCTTGCAAACCACTTGGCTGCCCAAATACTTACGTCCTACTTGTATGAGCAGATGCTCCAAGGAAATACCGTATTCCCTCGTAAAATCTCACTTTGAGTATGAAATAATGTATCTTCGGTGTGATATAATACTCTACCTATGCTAGTAAAAAAAGCGAATTTAACTACTACCAAAAATCCTACCAGGCCGGCGACAGGCCCACGGCCAAGGTCGAGTCCGCGAGGTCAAACCGCAGCTCAGCTTTAGCTGTGTGCCTCATGGGATTACAGGTACCTTTTGTTGCTTTTTCATAGGCACTTTCTGTGTTTATTTACCAAAAGATACTTGATTGCTTACCTAGATCCACAGCTAAAGTCGATTGGGCGAGAGTCTGCGAGATCGAGGTGTAACTCGACTTTAGACGTACAAGTACCTTTTGTTGCTTTCTCATAGGCGTTTGCTATCTTTGTTTACCAAAAGACACATGGTTGCTTACCAAGATCCACAGCCAAAGTCGAGTTTGCAAGGCAATACGGTACTGTAGCAGTATGAGCCGGATCGCTGTCTTTTTCGAGAGAATCGTAGCTTTATTTATTTTTTTGAAGGTCGTATAATATACGGATTTAATGGGAAAGCTTTGCATTCTGTGGATAAATTGGCGATTCTCGCTGGGTATTGATCTACCCTTGTGCAGCTTGTCTATCCTCTGAGATTGGTGACTCCGCGCCTTGCTTAAATCTATGCAGAAACGCAGAAACGCAGAAACGCAGGTAGGTAGATAGGGCAATGGCAGCTGCAAAGTCTTATCCACTTGCTTCCAAGTCAAAATAAAAATAAAATGAGATTTGGCGGCCAATTCACTGTATTTACTCCATCTTCGTGTCGTTGGGCATGAAAAGGTGCTCGGCGGCTACTGGTACGATGCTAAGCGCCTTCACATGCCAATAGCCGTTCTCGTCAAAAGTTGGAATGTGAGCTGACGCGAATGGGATTCATGACTGAGCAACAAGAATTCCAAATCTAATCGATTCGCTAGTCATTCGGCATCTATTTTTGAGAGATTTTATTACACGGAATGAGCCGCACCGTGCGCCTTTGTGAAGCTCCTTTGTGAAGCTCCTTTGTGAAGCTCCTTTGTGAAGCTCCTGTGTGAAGCGCCCACTGGAGACCGCCTAACAGCAATAACACACGCAGGACAGAGTATAGATGCCAAAGTGAGAAGCAGCAGAAGAAACAGATGATGATGCAACAATCTGTCAAAGAGTTTCGATAGCAATGAGATATCTATCAGTCATAGCAGCGCGTTACTCAATACCAAGGCATGTGCCTCGATTTCTTGCTCGCAGATCTATTTTCAGCTCCAGTCCCACATGAGCCTTCGGTGACGTCAACCACAACAAACACCAACCGCTGGCGATGGGCGAGATCTAGAGATCTGACGTCGGCGGCAAGTTGGACAAATGCGGATACGGGCGCGGATTCACTAAAGTGCAGCTGGAGATACAAGATGGGGAGAGCTGCTCTGAGCTTTGTCTGGTGTTTTCTGCAGCTGTCATTAATGGTGACGGCCTCTAACACGCTTTCATGAATTCACGTTGCATATGCATCACACATAATCTGCAATGGCGGCATCCGATCAGAACAGCGGCTCATCCATCTCGGCCTTGAGCAGCGAGCCCGATATAATCGAGAGCTACGAAGAAGAAGTACCCACCGCCAGCCATGCCCTCGCCGAAGAAAGCATCCAAGCTGATGCCGAAAACAAGGGCGCCAGCCAGACCGAGCACGACGAGATCGAGGTGAAGAACATTGGATGGAACAAGGAGCTGCATCATGTTCCGCAGCCGGTGGTGGGCGGCATGAGGAACGAAGAGCTGTGGGTGTTGATCCGCCGATTCAACAAGCAGGTCTTTGAGGTGAGGAGCATCGACAAGGCTCCGCTGGCCGATCTGGACATGAACATTGCAGAGGACGACGTGTTTTCTCCGGAGAAGCTGCGCGCGCAGCTGGAGCGTCTGTACATGACGGTCATTGTATCGGTGATCTGTCTGTGGAAGCACATTGTGCGCCTTCGGTCGTGGAGAGAAACGCAGAGAACGGAAACGTTTCTGGCAGTTTACAGCATTGCGTGGCTGCTTGACCTGCTGGTACCCGTTGGAATCGCGTTTCTCATCGTCTTGATCGCCTATCCACCGGCGCGGACCATCTGTTTCCCTCCTGTACCGCCGTCAATTGTCGACTCCAAAACTGGAGGCGTTCAGAAGCCGCCGTCAGGAGTCCTCGCATCTGACAACTCCATCACTGGCGCTCCTGAAAAACACGAAGGGGAAGGCGTTGAACAGGAGGCGCACAGCTTTGTCAATAGCATCGCATCGGTATGTGCTGGTGTAAGCGTTTTTGATTTTCTTTTTCCGGCTATACAATGACAAAAACGACTGCTGACGCTCGAATTGTGTATAGGTGGTCATCAGCACGAGCGCAGGGAAGCACCCTCAAGGCGACCCTCACGACGATAACACGGCTCCAGACCCTACAAACGTTACTGCAGACATATCGAATGCCAAAGATGCGGCAGATGGAAAAGGAATAAATACAGAGCACGACAGGACAAAGAAGCCTGTTTCCAACATTGTCTGGGCCAAAACGGGGCCCCTCATGCACATGCTTTCGGAGGTGGTTGATACCTGGGAGCGGTTTGGCAACGCCCTCAGCCCAACGCCCCCATTCCCTGTCGAGCGGCCGAGAATAACATTGGCTGCGTGCCTTTTGCCTCTATTGCTACTGTCCTTCTTTGTATCCTCATACATGCTATTAAAAGGCATCGCATTTGGCGTCGGGTTTCTCTTTTTTGGCGATCCCATCATCCAGCCAGCGCTGCGATTCGTCAATCGCACATATCCACGATGGCAAAAATTCATCGAGCTGCGGAACACGATTCTTCGAGGCATACCAACCAATGCGCAGCTTGCAATTACCTTGTTGCGCGTTGGCGAGAGGAACAAGGTGCCAATCCCGCCACCACCGTCTTCTGATTTACCGCCTCCGACCAAGATTGACCCAGAAGCTGCGGAGCAAGTCGATAATCTAGGTAACTATCTCTCTTTGAGTGAATGTCTATAACAAGTTACATGCTAACATTACACCGTCAGGTGTCACGGATGAAGAAGCGAGAGAAGCGTTACATCCCGACTTGGATCACGCAAAAGAGATCAAAGACGACAGCCAACAGCGAAAGCCCAAACGGTCTCATCGGATTATCAACTTGCTCAAAGGCACTGCAAAGGGAGGCGTTGAAACAGCTCTCACCGCCGACAAAGCCAAGGCCGCTGTTGGCGCTTCCCAGGCACGAAATCGACTGGGTGTCGTGAACAAACGGCCTGATGAGCGACCTTCTGGCCCAATCTGCTTCCCCGCTCGCTGTGGCGGCAAAAAAGGCCATGCCTACATCACAGCAACGGCTACAAGCCCTGCGCTGAGTTGGACCTCCAAGATTGAGGACGTCAACCCAGCGTGGACAGTAGCAATTGATGATATTAGCCAGCTGAAGAAGGTTGGAGGTTTGGGGTGGAAGAGCAAGATTGTGGTCGGATGGGCGACACAGCGAGAAGTTGTGGATGGACTGGTTGTGAGGACAAAAGACGGACAGGAGCATCACTTGACGGCCGTCATGATTCGCGACGAGCTGTTTAATCGTCTGATTGCTATGGGTCATCAGATGTGGGAGGCGTGTTGATGAATCATTGTTGTCTTGTCTTGAAATTTATATTGTAATAGCTATAGACATAGAATTTTGTGAACAATAATGCATGTTTTCTCGGACTATGCTTCTACTCTCTACAATTATATTACTATTTTATTTCTGCAAACATTCTAGGTGATAGAGCTCTAATGCTGCACTGGGCTAATACAAGACAGAAATAAAATCACCATGACTTCACTGTTTTTATTCCTGGCAACTTCAGCAAAGTTTTATATTCCATTCACATTGGCAAAATTTGTAATGATTGCGACATTATTAATTGACACCAACATCTGTCGCTTCTTGTTTGTTTCAATCGGGCGCAACTCAAAGTGCCCGAAGGAAAAGCGGAATCGGTTCTAAATCGGCAAGTACAGGGTTACCAACTGCAATTTTGAAGAAGCAACTTTGGCCGCGCCCAGCACGCCTCATTTACGCCATTACTCAGCATCAGCGCCTTTAGACAGGGCCTCGATTGGGATTGGGCTGTCCGCTCCCGTCAGTTGCGGTGGATCCCGTCAAAAGTCAATCGAGGTGGCTTGCTCCACCAGGAGGGCAGTGGTATGGCAGGTTTGTCCGCACTTTGGCTGTGATGTTGGCAGGAAATCTGCAACTAGCGACTAAGCTTAAGGAGAAGGGGTGGGTAGTGGAGGCCGTGGAAGGCAAGTTGAGATGATGAATGAGACGATGAATTAATAATTGGGCGAGGTGTTTCAGATTAGAGATTTGCTGTTTACTGGAGTTTTACGCTGTGTAGCTTTTGTATAAATAGGGCGTCATGGAGCCATGAAGAAGGATTCGTTTCGTGCTATCAATACAAGCAATTCGAAGTGGTTAACAATCATTCAATTACATCTTTACAGTAATCAACACATACGCAACAATGGCTCCCAAGAAGGTCCTCTTCACCGGCGCAACAGGCTACATGTAAGTCTGGTCAACCTATCAGCAACTGAAAAGCATAGAAAGCAGTACTAACAACATTGCAGTGGTGGCTCTGTTCTCACCCTTCTCCAAAACTCAACCCATGCCGACATCAAAAACCTTTCCTACTCCGTCCTCGTCCGCAAGCCCGAACATGCAGAGTACTACAAGGCCCAAGGCATGACGCCAATCATGTTCAAGAATCTCGACGAGGACATGGAGCTTTTGAAGAAGGCGGCGAGCGAACATGACATCATCATCAACACTGCCAGCGCTGCCAGAGCGATTGGCGCGAGGTCTCTGGTTGAAGGGCTGGCGGAGAGGAAGAAGACTACCGGCGAGCCAGTCTGGTTCATTCACGCAAGTAGTTCTAAAGTCTGCCTCTTTATGCGTATACTAATCTCTGTCTGTATAGACATCCGGCACTTCGAGCATTGGCAACCGCCCCGTTAGCAAAGTCTACACGCAAGAAGACGCCCCCTTTGAATTCAACGACAAGACTCAAAACATCCACGAGTATGAGCTGAAGCGTGAGGCCCACGATCCTTATTCTCAGCGTACAGGCGATGTAGCCACTGTCCAAGCCGGCGAGGAATTCAACGTGCCCACTTACATCATCATGTCACCCACCATTTACGGCAACGGCACCGGCGCGTTCAACAAGCGTTCCATTCAAGTCCCCTTCCTGGCTCGACGAGCAGTCAAGAAGGGATACGCCGAGTACATTGGCGAAGGCGCAGGAGTGTGGGACCACGCCCACATCGACGACACGGCCAAGGTGTATGAACTCGTGCTGGAGAAGCTCTTTGCAGGAGAGAACCTTCCCTTTGGCAGAAAGGGCATTTACTTTGCTGGCAACGGACGCCATCTGTGGAAGGATCTTTCTGACGGACTCGCCAAGGCAGGATTTGCTGCTGGAGTGCTCAAGGAGGACAAGGCACGGCCAATTGGGCTGCAGGAGATTACAGACGATACTCCGAATGGAAACTACCAGTTCTTGGAGCTGGGATTTGCCTCGAGATCAGTTACTAATGCGGTACTGGCGACAGAAGTGTTGGGTTGGAAGCCGGTGAAGGGAGAGGCTGATTGGGAGAGGGGATTCGAGGAGGAGATTAAGGCGGCGATGGCTGAGTAAAGTTGACCTGGCACATTTAATAATGTAAAAGCAATAGAACATGTACATTATCTTGAACCTGAATAAAAATTATACTGTATTGTTATAGCTATTTATGACTGCGCTTCGTCGAGCAAAAGCTCTTGAGTTACTCTTCTACTCCAGTAACAACGATATACTTTTCGTACTCTGGCTTGAGGACAAACTCGTGCGCATCAGTACTGACGCTGACATCTTTCCATTTCTCCAGAAGCTGGAGTTCTTCCCCTCGTCTCTTCGTTGCATAAGTCAAGCAATCTGACCCCAAAACAACGCGCGTGGCCCAAGAACGGCCCTCTGCTACGCCTCGCCGCTGAATAACGTCCACCATTGTAGATGCTGCTTTGTTAGGGTCTCCAGGGGTGACCCACGAATGGTCCGGAACGAAGAGTCCCATGTACTGTCCAAAGATGTCTGCATACGGCTCAGATACAGCTCTTGCAAGAGCAGAACCAGAGTCTACTTTTTTAGAGGCGGCATCATTGTCTTGCTCGTGGGGCTGCGCCAGACGAGTAGGAAAGCCTCCAATGTCAAAAGCAACGCAGTTGATGCCCAGATGAGAGACTTCTCTGTGCAAACTCTCAGCGAATGAGCTCAGGGCAGCTTTTGTCATGCAATAGTGGCCCAGGAACGGGAGGCCCGCCCAAGCACAGCCTGAAGAAGTGAATGAGATGGTACCGTGGCCTTGAGCGCGGAAGAGTGGTAGGATGGCCTGAGATGCGTGTAGCTGGCCAAAGACGTTGACCTGGAAGAGGTGGTTGACAAAGTTGTCGCTTTGTAGGCAGTTTATTAGAGCAGGGACATGGTGTAGATGGGATTTAAAGTGAGAAAAAAGCACTTACTCGGCATCTTCAGCAGTTTTGAACCCGGATATACCAGCATTATTGATCAAAACATCAATGTGGCCGAAAATCTCCCACGCCTTCTTCACCTGCGCCTCCACAACGGCCTTTCCAGCTCCGACGTCAAGCTCTAGCAAGGCCACATTGTCAGATTTGAGGTGTCCGAGCTTTTGGTCGACGTTTCTTCCAGAGGCAATAATTTTGTCGCCGCGAGAGATGATGCAGTCGACCAAGGCGGCGCCTATACCAGAAGTGGTGCCGGTGACGAGCCAGACTGTCTGAGGCATTGTGTTTATTGTGAAGAGAAATCTAAATTAATGCTTAGAGATTGTATGGGCTGGCTGAGGACGCAAATGCAATGTTGATTGGAGATGATGGCACGAGAAGAGGCATTATTTTATAGCTACCGTTTTTACTTGAAGTCTGTTTCCACTCTTATTGAAATCAGTTATCAGATTGAGGCATGATACAATACGGACGAATTGTCCGTGAGTCGTGGTCTTTACAGTCTATGAGGTTACGCGTAGAGCTGAGAGCCGACAATTTGGTCCGCGGACGAACGATTTTGTCGGTCCAAGTTGCCAACTAATCATCCAACTTTTAAGACGGTTAAAGGAGATCCTATCCGATTTCATGATATACGACGGAGATAGAGGCTTTTGCGGATTTAATGCATCAGCGAGTTTTCATATGTCCAGCGCGTAATTACGTTGCTGAAATGGAGAATACGTTTTGCTTTGTTGTTGTAGTTCATAAGATGGCGATACGAGTCCCGAAAGCTTCGTCCGTTTTGGACGGTGGAGATACATGGGCAAACACCCGCCTCTCTGTTGCTCTCTCCAAGATCTGGTCTGAAAAGTGATGAATCTTTCCCGTAACTTCTCAAACTCAAGTGACAGCGAGACGCATGATTTGCGTACATGTAGCTAATCACATACAGGCCTAGATACGGTAACGCACTGTTCCGCCGAAGCTGGGATTCAAATCCCCTCGTATAGTCTTGGGCGATCTGTGATGGGTGGGATAATCCTTTATTTCCCATGTATCTTTGTGTATTATTACTCTCTACCATTGTATAGACCTGCATCTCTGGTGTTTCTCATACCTCGGAATTGCTCACAACACGTGAGAGCGGCGAATCTGCAGCGTTCATCAATGACGTCAGTAATGGCGATACTCCGCGACGAGAATCAACATGAACTTTCACTCGGTTTATTGGAATTGACAAACTGAGTCGTCTATTATTACAGAGACCCTAATTTACTTGCCATTGCGGCACTGGCAGCGTTGAGAGAGCCGAGTATGGACTGCAATAAATGATAACACGAGCTATACGGCAGCATCACTCACTATTGTCAGCTTGGCCGCGGTAAACATCAAACTAAACCTCAAACCTTATTACAATGTAATTAAATCGACTAAATAGTCTCAGATCCAAGGATAGCAGCGGCCCAAAATCCCCTCCAGCCCGGCAAAGTCTATTCCCCAACCCCGCGCCCTTGGAGCAACAGCAGCTCCAGAGCCATCCGAAGCACTGCCACTAGTTTCACCATCACCATCACCAACACAACTTCACCACCATGGACTTCGCTCTAGAGCCCTATAATGCTGCCGATTCCTCCTCGTGGCTCATCTGCCATACCTGCGGCACGCAGTTCCCAACTGCTGATCGCTCCGTCGTCAAGACGTGCCACGTCTGTGACGATCCTCGCCAATATGTTCCCCCATCGGGCCAGTCCTTTACGACCATGGCGGAGCTTCGGGATTCGGACCATCGCAACGAGTTCAAGCCGTATGAGCATGACGAGCGCATCATTTCCATCCACACGTGTCCGAAATTCGCCATTGGCCAGCGCGCCATGTTGATTCGCACACCGCAAGGTAATGTGGTTTGGGATTGTATCTCCTATATAGACGCCGAGACGATAGACAAGGTGAAGGAGCTGGGAGGGATCAAGGCCATTGTCGTCAGCCATCCTCACTTCTACAGCTCGCATATACAATGGGCGAGAGCGTTTCAATGCCCAGTGTACATTTCATCCGAAGATTTGCACTGGACGACAACACCGTCAGCACACCGCAAGGCTCTCACCGAAACCGAGACGGAAATCATACCTGGCGTCAAGGCCATCAAGCTGGGCGGACACTTCCCGGGCTCCTCAGTGCTGCTGTTTGACGGACGGCTCTTCATCGCAGACACGCTCATGACAACTGCAGCAGGCTTGGGCAAATGGGATATCGACGCCCTGGGAGCCAAGCGAGAGAAGCCTCCCGGCCTGACTTCATTTTCGTTCCTGTGGAGCATCCCAAACTTCATCCCGCTGAGTGCGGATGTGATTCACCGGATGTGGGGGATCCTCAAGAACTACGACTTCAGGGCGACGCACAGCATTTTCGAGGGCATCGACATTGAGGATGAAGAGGTCAAGGCAAAGGTGCTGGAGAGCATGAAGTTCCAGACTAGGGCAATGGGCTTCACGGCGCATCCACTTTTGAATGAGACGCTGTGATGCGATGGGCATGACTTGGCTTGGTCAAATGTAACACACACGTAGGTATGCATTGTAACATTAGCATCGGGTACATCATCACCTGATTACGAGACACGCGTGTTTTTTTTTTTAATTTGATTTGAGATTTTTTTTTTTTATCTAATATGGTTGTATTGTAAAAAGTAGAAGCAAGAATGTACTTTGCGAGCTATGTAAGCGCAGAGGCCTCAATCTGAGCTGCAGTACATGTATGTAAATGAGGACGGGTATCTTGAAATCTTGATATGTAACAAAAAAAAAAAAAAGAGAAAAATGAAGAATAAAGCCATGGTAATAAGAATGAGAAGAAAAAATCAAATGGCCCAGCGCTTCGTCCAGTAGTATTTTATCCGTCCCAAACGCCGCTCGTTTAAATGAGAAGAACAAAAAAGAAGACCCCGTCGTGTCGTCCTCATCCACCGCGACTCATTCGATTAAATAAAGGTCGGTTCTGAGGTGATGGCAATTTGCGGTGTGTGCATCGGATCAAGTAGAGTTCATTTTAATGTCTTTGCTGGAGGCAGCGATTGAGCATCTCCCAGCCTTCATCGGGCAGATCGACCACAGAGTCGTTGAGTGTGTCGAGGATGAACGGATTTGCTGCAAATTTCGAATGTTAGTGACTAAATGTTCAAAATTTGACCGCTCAAGTAGCAGCTGTGAATACTTACGCATCAGAGAGAGAGCAATGTCTCCAGATGTAACAGCCAAATCCATTCTCGCGGAAGTGTAGCATCCATATCGCTCCTGTAGCTCCAACATGGTCTTCCACAGCTCTTTGGTAGCATCGGGGCTCATTCCGCCGCAGCTGCGCATGGAGCTCGTGCTCCCCTGGCGGCTCCGCTCGTACGCGGAAGAAGAAGGGCGACTGTGGTGCATGTTCATGTTCATGTTCATGTGCATATTCATATCCTCGGCAGAAGCTGCTGTGACGGACGCAGCAGCAGCAGATGAAGCAGAGATGATGGACGAGCTGCTGGCGGTTGTGGCAGTAGCCGTGGTGATTGTGGTGGCAGCGGTGGTGGTGGTGTTGACGGGGATGATGGAGGTGAGCAGGCCGATTTCAAGGTCGTCGCTGAAGGTGGACCACTGAGAGCTGATTGATGAAGACGAGGAGCTTCGGCGCATTGTATGCCTCAAGAGTGCGTGTGTACGTGTGGCGGATCGGCAGGCGTTTTTGCAGAATCCGGCGTGTTGATGGCTTTTGGCTTGGTGTTTTATGTGCCCCAGTCACGGCGGTAAGCAGCAGCAGCACTGGCAACGGCAAGAGTATGTATAACGAAGAGAAGAAGAATGAGACTCGGATCGAGGCAGATTATTATAGTCTACAGTCAGACCACTTGGACGTTCACAGGTCAGAGGGTAGCAGCAAAAGACAAGTCCAGCCGGGAGGTGAGGGGCGGCCCTCGACTTATACGCATACGCAGCAGCGTCGCCCTGCCAAAACGGGACGACACCCAGAGCTCAGCATGATCCGCCCTGGCCTGCCTGACGTCGATCCAGGATGGCTGTCTCAGTTCCCTCCTGGTGGGGCCCGATGTCGATGCCGGAACTGCGCGCAGCTGGGCTGGGCTTGAAGCTTGAATACGTGGCTGGCACCAGTCATGCCAACCTCAGATGGGAAACACTAGGACCAAGGGCCTTGTAGCCACAGAGTAGCTGCATGTACCCTCCGTGAATCGAAGCCGGGCTTGCAGTAGCACGTCTTCGTATTGTGCGCTCAACGTGGCCTACGAATGAGGAAAAAATTCTAAAAAAAGGAGTCATCCTCAACAAAGGGAAAAGAGATGAAAAGTTTGCAGACTGGAGCCCGTGGCTTTCAGCTGCCTGAATGTGAATTCCCACCACACTTGACTACTTGCGTCGTTCACGTTCCTGTGCCCCTTGAACTAGCATCGCAGCCTTCAAGGTACACCAAACGGCACGCTGTCTCTACTCGATAGATGCCCTATTCCGGGACTTCCCAAGGGCCCGCCTTTGTTTCGTAGGCCTCTCTTTGCATTACATACCTCGCCCAGAGGGGCAAGAGGGAGGAGGCTAATAAGAAAACATCAGCCCAAGGAGAGGAAGCCAAACAGAAGAAAAGAATGAAAAAAGAAAAATTTTCCTACTGAGGCGGCACAGGTACGAGCAAAAACGGGTTGGTGCCGTCACGAACATCGCCAATTGGCTCGGTGTCCAGGGAATTAATCTACAGAAAGGCAAGAATGCGTGACTAAAAATGGATGCTCCGTCGAGTCACCAGTGCCCAACGCCAGGCCAAGCAAGGGTTTCGACTCATTCGAGAGCTTGCAAGCGCCAGATGTGACCCCCAAGTGCCGACGCCGTTTCAGACCGGGACGGCATTTGCTGGCCAGGATGCATACACGTACAAGTGCCTAGAGTAGCATCACAAGTAGAGTAGCATCGACACAAGACAAGACAGAGAGACGATACGACGGCTGAAAAAAGCGGTCGCCGGATGGGGCCACCACACCATCCATCGCCGCATTTCAGACGACTCGCTCGATCTGTCGACATTGGTGCAGGGATGAGGTGAGGGCCCGTGGATAGGACGACGTGACCCGGGCGACCAGGGGGGGTTGGATGCCGTGGATCCTGGACGCATCGCGGCAAGAGTTGACGTCTTTTGCGTGGTGTTTGCGATTTGATTCATTCTGCCATCACGATGCCAAAAAAAAGTCTTCACGAGTCACTGTCACCTCGGCCGTGATGGACGAGGAACATTCCGCAGCCCAGCGGGAGGGATGGAAGGGGCAATCATACGACCTCGTCGAGCGCGGATATGCCTCCCTTCCTTGCCGCATCAACCGGCCGCAAGTCAGATCCGACGCGGTGAAGCCGTCGTAGATGTGATTTGATTTGAGATGGATGACGAGAAATAACCGAGGGCAGAGCGCTCTCCAAGTTGCTCGCGCCGCCACATGATCATCTTGCTTGTGTTCATGCAGTTCATCTCCCTCCCTACTGATAGGTAGCTGTACTCACAATGTATTTGTCTCATAACGCGGCGGGCTTGTGCATACATTGCGCATACATGCACACTTGCTCGCATCTTGCATCTCCCATCTTCCGAGGACCGCAATCTACGCTCTACTACTAATCCGAGCAGCGGAAACAGCTGACTGAGACATACATCTTTCGCTCACCAGGCCGGTCCAATCGCAGATCCCTGCAGCTCAACAGAGACGACTGAGATTTCGTTTACACACTTTAAAAAACGGCAATAAGAAGCTTGATGAATAGCCGGAGCGGGGGGGGAACAAAGGCGCTGCTGATCTTTTGCCGTTTGCATCACCTCCCATCTACACACTAATCACTGCGGATTTCCTTGTTCAGGAAGTTATCATGTACAGGAGGCACGATGCAACATCGAATTGAAAAAAAGCTTGTCCGGCGTCGGAACACCCTCGGAACAGCCAGCTTAAGTAAGCCCGTTCAAGTTCCTTACAAGACAAGCTTTTTGCAAAGCTTTGAATCATGGCTGCTCATTGCCTTGTTGGGCTACTGACACAAGAGGAGAAAAGAATCATGTGAGGGCCCGGATGCACGCGGGAGGGGCCTTTGAAGCTTTTCCAAGTGGGCTCCTTTTCGCGTCGGGATCCGAGCTTGGATGCCTGGCATCGCGTAGCAGTCTCCAGTTTAATCGAGTCTGTCAAGTTTAGTTGACGCCTAGTCGCTTTGTTGCTGCTGTGCTGTTTAACCTGCCAAGACGGCTACTTGATAGTCTCGCCAGCATCAAAGTTGCCAAGTGATGAAACAAACCAGCCATGACACAATTGAGGAGGCAGTGCTATGCAGCAACCTCCCCTCTCCGCCCTGACGAAACGAGAAGCCGTTAGTCTGTGTCCAGGGCACGTTTCTTATTCTCAAAACGTCAGCACCCTCGCATGGGGATCGCTCGGATAGCAACAGCCCTTACAATATCAGGCCGTCCGACGGCCATCCCGACTTTCTGGATCGGCTTCAGGGTTCCGATCGAGCCGTTTCAACCAGCAAATCGAACCTTCTTCAGATCCCCAGCAAAGACGTCAGGCTGCATCCTTTGAACCCTGAAATCCCGGCCCCAAAAACGTCGTCGTCTGTGGCCTAAATGTAGGGTCCGAGAGGCTGATGCTCGCCCAAGGCCAAGCCACGCCCGACCCTTCCGTAGTCCAAAAAACCCAAGCCAAGCCGCGGATCGAACGAATGAGGCGGACGGATATTGGTAACGTGATGCCCAGCTCGACGCCTCATTTTTTTATTGGCATCAGCTACACGTGTGCAAGCGCACAATTCTTGGCCCAATTGCTCGGTTACCGGGACACGTATACAGGGCATAGTGGCTTGATCCTCTCAGCTTGACGTGTCTAGACACTCTGATAGTCATCTCTCTTGTCCAGTATAAGGAATGCAATGCAGTCTTCAGCCGCAATTCAAATTGCTTACTGCTTAAGCGTATCTCATGTCAGACGACAGATCCAGGCCAGCCATGAGGAATACACAAAAAAGGGCGTATAACAATTCGTCCAATCCCGCATGTCTAAGCCTCCAAATGCAATCCTCCTGCAGGCCAAGCAACTAAGAGCCAATAGTGACTTCTGTCTACTTCCCACTACCTTTCATCCCAATGTCCCAGCCAATTCTTTTGCCACCTGGCTGCTGTTGGTATTATTCATCAGGTAGGGCTGAGTAAAAACAGCCCATCAGCTTACCTGCAATCGGGATAAGCCCTGCCCAAGCTTGACCTCAGTCCTTCCGCCGTGCCGGTAACACGCCATACGCCACTTGGTGGCAGCTCCCCCGCGTTCAGGCGTTTGAATGAAGGTTCAAATGGCTTTTGGATGTGCGCTGCCTATGGCTGGAGATACGCAAGATGTCGCATGTGACCAATGTGTCGAGTCAGGTTCACTTGCTAGACATGTGTATTCTCAAGCAGCAGCTGCTGCGCTCTATCTTTACTCTCGCGTGAATCTTGGCTATTGTAGGTTCATCTATGCCAGTGCGATTCTCCTCCTGTTGGAGGAAAGTTGACAAGATTACGTCTTGGAGTTTACAATGATACTGCCCTGCATAGAATTCAGGGTCGAATCCTGTTTCTTGAGTCATCTTATAGTGCATGTAGCTTCTGTAAAGAGTCGCCTCTAGAGTGACTGCATCATTTGGGTGACTCCAGTGCTGGAGCCGGCTTTGACGTAATGCCGGAGACGTAATGACAGCCATCCGCGGCTTGCCCCAAATCTTAACGCTAGCTCCCGTCGGTGGCAGCTGATGATATGTCTTGGTTCTTATATTGGACGCTACAACCGCGCAGTACCAAGTCTAATGCGACAATTGATAATCACAATCGGCAATGGGCATTGTGAATGAGCGCAAAGGAGAAGATAGGTGCCAGGTACGCGCACTCTATTAGCATTTACTCCTTCCATTTGCGGTTCGCTGGGTACAAGTCATACCTAGGTATAACCAGCATGGATTGGCAGCAGTGTCTTTTTCTATAAAAGAATACCTAGGTACTCACAGAAGCAAAAACAAAAAGTCTTAGAAAGCTATCAATAGCGTTTAAATTGGGAAAAATAAGCTCCTCTGCTGGTATTAAATAAAATTTAGCATGGCTTGGTGTGCTTGGAGATACTAGCCAATTACAGTGTACTTGAGTCTTTTGTTTGTCTTTGGAAGATGAGTAATAAATAAAAGTAACTGGATGTATGATAGGATATAGCATGTTGACGATTTAGACTCTTGTAGGGTGTAGACAATGGTGAGTGTAAAGAAGGGTGAGTGAAAGAGTGATCAGCCGCAATGATCTTTATAAAGTAATGATAGAAAAGGTGTAAGGTGATATCAAAACTAGGGAAAATTGATCCAACATCCCAGCTCTATTATCAGTACATTAACTAGTATAGCATAAACTGCTACCGCTACTACTACTGCCACTACAGCCAAGTCGAGATCGCACCGCGATGAACGGCATCCTTGATCCCCCGAAGAAGATTGACGTCGTCGAAGGCGTTTCACTTAGACGATTTTCTCTAGCATCCTTCCCGCCTTTATTGTCTAGAGGGGATCTAAGCCCTAACTAGCCGTGAATCTACGCCGTGTAAACATGAAGGTGGAGCTGAACTTCCACCCTCCACCGAAGCAGGGGCCCTACCTAAGCAGGAAGACATTCTATCTTCCCTGCAGGGCAGCGAAGTGTTCACATAAAACAAGGGTTTCTTTCAGCAGCTGATCGCAGAATGGGACAAATGGAAGATGTGCTTCCTTGCAGCACATCGCGGCCACGACTGTTTCGCGGTCAGCATCGCTACTACTTCTACTTTCAATATATATAATAATTGGATACATATCATTTTATCAGGATTGACTCCTTTTTAAACTACAGGTAAGGTGTTGGGTAGCTTTTCTCTATTAAAACATATCGTGCTATAAATTTATAATAGCACTTCTCTTCGGGAGAGTTCATCCAGGTGGAGAAGTTGCCGATAGGTTGCTGGCACAGGTGAATGTGCTAGCATGAGCGAATGTCTAGAAATCTCTAGAGCCTCAAGACCATACTGAATGCAACTCTCCTAAAAACAGGACAAAAAGAGCTGCCCTGGCGTATACATGTATCGTACACATGCTCCATCGACTCATTTTCGGGTGATTTCCCCAATACTTCACCTTCCTTTATCCTTCCGATAGATGTCGGTAGCGCGGACCATGATTGTGATTCCGTTGGTAATCTCTTCCATTGGTGCGTTAAATGAAACGCGGCCGTTGCGGAGGGGGTTGCCAGGGAGGCTGTGCATGACTTTTGCGTAGCTAGTAAGGGCGGCGGAGATGATTGTAGCAATTAGTCCGCAATCACAATTGTTGTGTTAATGGTAACGGAATCAGCCGCTTATATTGGACTAATCTGTTGCGAAGGACCTGGTGCCAACATCGACTCTGAGTGACACATCGAATTAAGAAGGTCTTCATGACTAGAATGTCTCCTTGGTATTTTTGGTAGCCAACACGTTTCGATTTGTTTTCGACTTGTCCTTTTCCAACGGAAGATTGCTTTCCTCTTGGTCGTGGTTGTAGGTATAAGATGCTCCCTATTCTAGACTTGATCCGACATCAGCATTGACATAGTTGCTCGCTTGTTAGAAGGAAAGAAAAGGAAAATATGAGAATCTTAATTCTGTAGGCGTGCCCGAACAAGTGTAATACGTGTGCTGAGAATCGGCGGATAGATTCCTGTTCTAGTTAGAGGCCTTGAGGCTCATTATACCAATTCGGAAGGCCGTCCGACATTCGGCCACATAATGTTGGGAATAAAGGAAGTACTCCTAGTGGTTAAAGACTTCTTGGACTTGAAAAGAGCCGGGGTATTGTACTCTCGCTTGTCCCAACTACTGTGATTATAACTGCCGAGCATACCGGAGAAGCAAAGATGCTGCATTTGCTCCCAACCAGGATTATAATCCCTCATGGAGGATTTATTCGGCACTTTGCACCTACATCTACCTTGAAACTCGCCGTGACTTTACAATTATTTTTCATTCTTGATGTTGTTTTATACGAAGAGAGAAGTATCATCAAAGGTCAGAAGAAATATTTGACATGCCACGATGCAATATTTAGTGTGAGACCAGTAAGTCACTATACCAATATTAGATCAGTTACTCTTTTGGTCAGAAACTTGGAAGATAAATTCACGACTAAGCTAGACGAATAGGCAACTTGCTCGCTTGGTTATAATTGCGCTTCACGGCGCCAAAATAGGTATGTCTGTGTTGAGCATAGACATATGTTGACTATCGCTAAGTAATTCCAGACAAACTGCACCTTGCTTTGCCTGCTGATTCAGATGCATGGTTAGGTATTAATACAAAGGAGTGAGAAGAGGAAAATGCAACCAAAGTAAAATAGAGTCAGAAGAAAGAAGAGAAGAAAGCCAAATGGTGGCAACACGCTCGCTAATTATGCTCCAGGAAACTCTTTCTCTCGTCCAAGCTGCTGATATGCAGAAACGCTATTCAGGGGAAAAGACATAATCTCTTGATATGCGTGAAGGCCATTACATCGCTGGCACAAAAATCCCGGATCGTCTTTCAAAACGCTGCAGATTTGGAGTATTGCCCTCAGACGATACTTTGCGAATAAAGGAACGTCGATTCTGGGTAGCGCTGTTGTAAGCGCGACAACGACTGCATACAAGTGCAGCAGGAACACCAACATGTAGGGGTTCTTCTTGCTGAGAGACACAAAGGATGCAGCCGGGCTCTTCACGAACCATGCCGTGAAGGGATATACTAATCGGTACTGGTCTTCTGCGGTGATGTCGGAGCCGAGTCGTTCATGGACAAGCCGCATCACGTCTCTGAGCTGTCGAAGAACTGCAGAGAGATCTCGATCGCCTTGGAAACAGAATGCCAATCCGTTGACGGAGTTGACTCCTTCGGCTAGAAGCTTCTTGACCAGGGCGAAGCGGTGCTCTACGTCCCCAGTCTCCGGAGGCGTTGCCGCTGCCTGTTCTTCGTTCTCGGGGCAAGGAAGCTCATATGTGAAGATGCGGTGGAAGGCCGACCGCTCCAGCCAAGGCTTCATTCGATTCGCCACCTGCTCTATTGTGAGCGGTGTTGTAGACAGGACGATGCTCTCGAGGCTTACAGTGGAGATGTTTCCCGCAAGGGTCATTAGGGAGCGTCTGTTGAAGCACCTGTTAGCCCAACCGTGGTCTGGATTTTCCGGGAATGATATCGGTTTGATTTTTATAGTGGAAGCAATGGGAAAAGACGTAGTAATGGTAAACTTACGAGTCCGACATTATATATGAACATCCCAGAGAAGCCGCCAGGATTGCATCGGCATTTTCTTTGGAAAAGCTGCCCATTGCCCGATATAATCCATGAAGGGCCTGTTTCCGGTAGTGGAACGCGTCCAAGGAGGCCTCGTGTGATTTTGTAGTTACTGCAAGTCGTTGTGCTGATGTCGCAGCCAAGGTATGGGCAACAAAGTCGTATTGTGTTGCGAGTTGGAACAGCCTGACAACCCAGCAAATGTCAGTCTCGAATCGCCATTATCAATGCTTTCCCCTTGTAAAGCAGCAACGAAAATAGTAATATAGATTCACGCTGGCTGCACTCACACGCCCATTTCACCCCATAATAGACAGATATCGTTCGTATTGCTGAGCTCGAGGATATTCGCAACCAGAGCCATCTTGTAGATATACCGCAAGTCCTTCATATCCATAGTATGCCAGCTTGGTGACGGAGCTAGAGACATGAATGGCGGCTCTCCCGTTTCTTTCCATTCTGCGCATGCATTTTCAATGTCTTCCGGCCACCAGAGAGAAGGAGTCTCCTGTTCAGGCTCTTCCTCCGGAGGCTGATCAGGATATTTACACGGTATTTTTGAAGAAAGACATCTGTGACTATGAGATTTGTTAGCTCTTGTTTCCATTCCATACGCATCATCCTTCTTCTTTTCCCTTCTTCAACGAGCAAAATCCAATGATTGCTGATGGACGAACCATGTTGGTCGAAACTCGTCACATTTGACGTGCCGCTGCTTACACGCCTGGCAGCCAAACTTTGATTTCGTGTGGCTTCTGCGAAGCACTGGCTTGACCGTCGTCATGATGCCAGCCGTTGACTTTTTCTTCTCTCTTGTTGATAACTAGACTTTCAAAATGGGTTCTCTCCTATTCATTAAGAACTAATATCCCGACAGCCTCTCGTCGTTCAAGATAGGGCAAATAGGCGCTTGTGGGGCCGCGTTGCCACAACTTTTTTTTGGCGTTAGGTTGACTCGCAAAGTAAGGACATACTTCCTCTCTTTCGTAAAACAGCCCGTATCTAGTGGAAGAAAATCCGCGGATCTGTAGTACTAGATCTAGGCCAGCTGTGTGGATAAGACTCAGGAATCTGGGCCCCCTCCCCTGCTACATGACAAATGCAGAACCGTGGACGAAAATAAAAATGCCGCTAGACCTATTCTCCCGGCAAGCTAGTGCAAGGATTTTGGTACAGTACTTCGTATTCTCGAGGGTTTCTTTGGGGGATAGTACAGCAGGTAGTATCGAAGAGGGAAACGGAATCAGAGCAGTCCACCGCCCTTAAACGAAACATAAGCGCGCGCAAACATCGGCTGTTTGCCGAAAGATGGGGGGCCAAGGCATTGTACAAATTAAGCATATGGCGTTTGAAGATTACTTCCTGAAGCGGCTAACAAATTAGAAGCGAATGCGCGAAGCTATCGGGGTACTCCGTGCCAGGGAGGGCAGCAGGAGTTGAGGACTTTTGTCTATTACTGCAGCTGAGCAACTATCAAACCATGTGCTCTATACTCTATGGCGAGAACGAATAATGAAATACAATGATGGAGTTGCCAGATGATTCGTGCTGCACGGGCGGCTCTTGTTCTCGGAATCGGCTGTTGGCGCTCATGACTTGTTAATTATGGCGCCTCCCGAGAGCCGCGACTTCCAGGACCGCTTCCGCAAAGACTTGTGGGCTTTGAAGAGGAATATTCTCGCCACAGCCTTGCACGATATGATGGACTCGCGGGCCCGAAAAGTGCTGCGCAGTTGACGAGCCATTCGTCGCGGGGAAGACAGGAGCCTGGTCCGGGTCCAGCGTCACGGAGGGGACTCTGATGACGGGCAGCAAGTCTAGGTCGCCGGCCAATTCCGCATAGGCTGGGTCGCCGGGCGCATACAATAGGCGGTTCTTGTAAAAGTTAGTCGCGATGTCGACATAGTCTGGGTAGCGAAACGCCGGAACCGCCGCATCCAGTTCCACTGCGGGCTGTTCCTGGACCAGAGCGTCTCGGCCCATGCTCGCGTGTCACTGGCCAGCGCGCTATAAGCTTGCGGTGTGAGCAGGACGTACAAGAACCAGCGCGTGGCAAGAGATGGCGAGGGCGCCGTGGCCCATGCCGTCTGGCGGTTCTGGATGAGGCATGAATTTGCAGCAACCATGCCGGTACAGCGATCCGGTCCCAGGGCTGCGGCAACGTTGACGGCAACGGAGCCCCAGTCGAAGCCCGCAAAGATGGCCTTGTCGGTGCTGAGAGCGTCCATCAGGTCGACGATATCCTTGCCCAGGGCGGCCTGTTCCGCGCTGCGGGGGGTGCTTGGCGAGAGAAACGAGGTGGTGCCATGGCCACGCAGATATGGCACTATCAAGCGATAGCCCTTGGCCGAGAGCTTGGGCACAACGTCGACATAGGTGTCGATCGAGTACGGAAACCCGTGGACCAGGATGGCAACTGGTGCGGCTGAGTCTCTTGGCGCCGAGTCATAGTAGGCAATGGATAGTGTCGAGGTATTCACAAATCGTATGGGCGTCAGAGTATGGACTGAGCCGGCGACGTTAGTTGCCGACTCAGAGCCGTTGAAGAACAGGGTAACCTCAGGAGAGCAAGATATAAGATGCCCCGTATAGGATTACTGAGGAGAGACAAGGGGGACAGGATGGCTGCGAAGACAACCCGAAAACTGGATCGAGATCTATCATTCGGCGATTCTCCTCCTCTATATCGCGAAGATCACCGAGCTGGTCTTGGCGTGTTGGATGAGCTGATAGAGAGTTTTGACTAGAGAGGCAACCAATATAGCCTTTATATAACGTTTTCCTCCTCCTTATACAACCAGGGGGATCATTGCTAAATCAGACACAATTACGCACGCAGAGCACTTCGGAGCCCTTGTTAGTCTCTCTGATAACTCTTCTTTACGGGAAACACCATTTCCAAGCCATTAGACAGAACACGAAGCAATTCAGAACTATGCTTCACGACCTATCCTCATACGCAGCAAAGTTGAGCTAACAAGCTTTCAATGATCTTCAACTGACAAGCCAGTGCCCCGCGCCATAGCAGGGTTGCCGGCGCCCTATAAGGAGCTGGCATGGCCGTTTTAGTATTGCGTATTGCCTGCGACCTGATTAGCGGCATTTCACGGCGTGTGAGATTTTAGCGGCGGGCTCGGTGGAGAGAGAACGACAGCCGTCCATGCTCCATCCGGTCGGTTCGATGGGGCCTCGATAGCATGTGGGCGTTGAGCAGCAGTTTCAGAGGCCGTAGGGCTGTGTGTAGCTGCTCCAGTTACGTAGTTTCCTGGCGTCCTTCTCCATTCGGAGATCCCTGTTCAACTCCGAACCCCCTAGGTCAACCTGCCAGCCTTGCAAACCCTGTCAACGAACCTGCGTCCTTCTCCGAGCAATTCCTCCAATCAGACCACAGCCAAGCCATGAGACATCAGCATAGGGCTAAACCAACCGACATAGAACCTTGAATCCTTAATCTCTGGCTGATTACTATTCAGACTTGTATCCGGCGGAACGCCCTATGAGCGGCTAGCTTTGAGTTTGGCAATTCTTACTATAATAGGAACTAACGAGAGAAAAAGAACAAGCGACAAAAAGACCGGGAAATGCCCCGAATGTCATACTTGCGTTGCATGAGGCTCTTATATAACCTCGGGGGTCACGATCCTCCTCCGAATATACACTGTTTACGGTTAGTTTGGCTGAGACTCATGATGATCTCCTGTAACATAAGGTTTAATGATGGACGAGCAATGGCACGAAGCAGGGATCAGGCAAAAAGTCTGACAACTGCTAGGAGCTATTCGCAGCTCAGCGCGCTAGACGGCATTAAGCAGTCTTTGCGTTAGTGTGTAATCAGAAAATAGATGGGTAATCAGAAAATAGATTATCATTGTAGGATATGTCTTTGATGAGCCTAGTACGGAGCATAGACAAGCAAGACTATATACACAATCGCTCTTGTTGACGGAAAAACTCGCGACTTGACGCAGTCAGACATCGTCATATAGTACGATTTGACCAGCCACGTGCTGCCGTCGTCCAGTAAGCTCAAGCCCCCTCAAGAACTTGTAACGTTCAATCTTAGGACTGGTCCCAGCCACGACTGGTAATCAGCAGGATTCGTCTCATCACCGTTCCATTTCAAGGCCCGGAAAAGCGGCCGGTAATCTCCAGAAACTAGCTGGATCGAGGTGTTGTTGTCGCTTGTCAAGGTGGGGGATTCAATGAGACCAGATACAAACAAGTTAAACGTAGTGCCTTGCTTGATGGGACTATTACTGGCGACAGGGTCCATTGTGGATGCAGAGACGATTCCATAGCTGGGTTCGCCAAGATAACCGGATTGAGTAGCTAGAGCCGGCGGCTGATAGTCAATAGTAACGTTGGGGTCGAAGCCATATATCGATGGGACAAAGGATGTGTTTGCCGATACGAGTTCTAAGCGGACGAGCCGAGAGGGCAGTCCAGTAGAGATATCGACCAATGGGAGAGCATCGTCCGGGCTACCGGTAATATTATACGTATCGATATTCGGCTTAGTCGCCTGGCCACCGGGATTGGTTATTTGGAATTTGTATACGGCCGGAGAAGATGGTGAACCTGGCGGTGTTGCATTCACCATAATAGGGCCAACCTCTGCTCGATTAGTAGGCACACCAATGTACGGAATTGAATACGTCTCATTGTCAGAAGACACCTTGACAAAGCCGGCGTACACGGGCATTGAATACGGCCATTTGTCTTCCTGCGGAGTAATCTGAGCCTCGAATGTGGCCGACTGTCCGGCCTCAAGTGTCAGAGACGACTGAGAAAACTCGGCTGAGGCATCAATTTCTAAGGGGTAGATACTTCCATTCCTTGGAATATCCGGACCGCCGGCCAGATAGTTGTAATAGACCCTGGTAAAGGCCGCTGGGATGTGCCCTATCTGGTATGTCTTCTTCCCCTTGGATTGATTTATGATGGTGATCGTCTGTGGAGCCGGCAATGCGGAATCCCGCAGGTCGATCTCAGAAGGGGAAATGACAGTGTCCGCATGGACGGCGGAATACGCGTCGACTAAGCCACCGCCCTGTCGAGCCGTAGAGGCAACAAGCGGCAGGCCAAACTCCTTGAGCGGCTTAGCAGTGGCCATCAGTCGTGCATAGAGCTCTGAAACGCCGAGGTGTGGCTGCTGGGATTTGAGCAGTGCGGCACTTGCGGCGACGAAAGGGGTGGCCATCGAAGTACCCGACAAAAGGGCATAGCCGCCTCCCTCCAGGGGCCAGGTGGAGAGGATGTTGCCTCCAGGAGAGGAAATCTTGGGCGCGAGTGTCATCTCGACGGTGGGACCATAGCTGGAGAAGGCATCCACTGTTGCTCCGAGCTTGTTCGACACGTCCTTGGCCTTGTCGCCGTCAAATGTCAGATAATAAGAGGCCTGGTCGGCGGGTAGGTTGTCGAAAATATCGATGAGCTTTTGCGAGTTTTCATGGTTCAAATACACCATCTGCACGCCATCGAGTGGACTCGCGTTTAGCTGCTCATCGTCTGCAACATAGACCATCATTGTCTTGACGCCGATCGCAGCTGCTTCGCCCCAATTATTGAATAAGGATACACACGATTCAGTCACTGAGACTAACAAGATGGTGTTGTTCCAGTTAATAATGCCTTGATTCGTAGCCGATTGCAAAGAGGCCCATACCGACGCATCGCATCCACTCGAGATGGTAGGATCGGGAGGTACTCCAAGACCTGTCCCCAACGTGTAGATCTGCTGGCGGCCCAGGTTGGTTGCGGGAAATACAGATATATAGTCGAGGGCGTTTTGCTGGTCGTCGTGAGCGGTATATGCCACGGGGAAGACGGCGTTCTCAACCGAAGCCACAGATAGTGCGTCGTGGGACAGGCCAGGAGACTGAGGCCAGTATAGCCCTTCGATACCGACGTTGCCAATGGCAGCCACAACGGCTACGCCACTATTGAACAGCTGGGTGACGACGTCGTTGAATGGATTGTCTAGTTCCCATCCGTTACCTCCTCCAAGGGACATGGACACAACATCTGCGCCATCTTGCACAGCCCTGAGCATCGCCGCAATGATAACATCAGTGGTAGTGCTGCTCCCCTCACTGCACCCAAAAATACGATACGCTGCAATAGTTGCTTCAGGAGCCACACCCACTAATCCAAATCCCTCATTGTCGGCATCCTCCATGCCGACAATACCTAAATAACGTTATTTTTTAGCTTCAAATCTAATTTAGCAGGCAACAGCAACGAGTCAGGCTCATACATACCAGCCGTGTGAGTCCCATGTCCTCCACCATCACATGTGGCCAGGGGATCAGGATCCGGCACAGGGGAGTTGAGGCCGGTATAGTCGTCTCCCACAAAGTCGTATCCCAGAGCAATCTTGTAACCTGGGCCGAATCCTCCACCCAAGGAAGGATGGTTATAGTCGACGCCGGTATCGATTATGGCAATCTGCACTCCTTTGCCCTTGATGCCTTGTTTGTGGAGCTTGTCTACGCCGGCCATTGCCAGTGGCTCATTGACCCTCCCGCTGCCTCTGTAATTGGGCAGGCTGTCCTGTCCATCTTTCGACACTGGCGAGCCCGTCAGCTGTTGATAGGGGACAGGGCGAGGCACGACGGTGACGCTCCAAGCATTCTTCACGCCAGCCGTCTTCTTTAGAGTGGCGAGATCAACGTCTTGGTCAAAGGCAACCGAGACGCCAAAGAAATGCTCGGTGCTGTTATACTGCTGACGAACATGATATCCGGCTTTGCTGCCCGGAGCTGTCTTTGCAAACTTTTCTTTGGGCTGCAGGCCAGGATGAAAGTCCATCTGCAGCTCAATGAGGAATGTGTTGGGGACTACAGTGGTATTTGCAGCAAACTGGCTCTGAGCTGCAGCTGCAGCTAAATTAGACGATGCTGACGCTCCGCCGGCGAGGGCCAGGAGGCCCAGTGTAGAGCTAAACTTCATGGCTTCGACTCTAAATGAAACACCGATGGGCAAGAGTTGGGCTTTGACTATTACGAGAGGACACATGCAAAGATTTATATCTTTCTTAACGAGTGCAAATCGATATAATTATTCCCCGATTCAGACTGTCTGGTGCCTCTATCCAGAACCGTTTGATGTAATCTTCAGGTTCTCCCGAAGTCGGCAATTCCCATAAAGTGCAAAGTCGCAAAATCACATTCCCTATTCGATCGTTGATGCATACCTACTAATACACATGGACTTTGGCTACAACTCCGTACCCGTGCGCGCGAACCACTCAATCGACCGCGGAGGCAAGATTCCAAACTCCAGATTCTTGTTGATTAATGATAATGGCTGCGCTGATTAAACTGAATGGATCTTGTAGTCAGTATAGAACTTCTGCTTTTGGATCGAGCAATCAGGCAACTTTTCGTGCAGATACTTCTTTTGGCTTCCCATTTAACTCTAAAAAGTAGGTGAATAAGCTGCACAAAAGACCTGTTACTGCCGATCCCTGTTTGGCAAGTAATTGCCGAAGCAAAGCAGCGATTGATGAATAATATTTCGGGGGCCAATATGCCGACGGGTGCCTCGTATAAAGATGCACAATCTTTTGGCCTATTTAATTAATCAGCTAATATGCCACTTTCATGATAATTCATTTCATATAATTAGGACTATAGTGAACGGTGAGGAAACTGTTGATTACTGGATCTACTGCTACTACTTCTGTTACTCTATTGCATCTACTGGTTCTTCCAATTTTATTATCTCTGCTACTCCTACTGGTTCTAATAAATACTACTTCTAGTGGCTCTACCGCATCCACTGCTTGTATTGCTGTTTGTAGATGCGGGTGCTCGGATGCAGTGCGGGCTTACAAGCAACGTCCTAATTCACCGAATGCAACCATATATGCTGAAGCTTCAACTAATCAAGAGAGAAAAGAGCATTTGTAACTAATATATTTGCCAAAATGCCCAGCACTTGGAGCGATCTATATCTTACGATTTAAAGTATTTTCCAATCATTCTAATGTCGTCAGCCAATGCAGGCGGGTTATCCAGCGCGGGAAAATGTCCGCCAAACTCAACCGCTAGTCAGACAAAGATATCAGCAATATGTTCCCAAACAACTCATAATCTCATTCATCTTCCTAGTGGTGTCAGACTCACAATTATAATAGACCAAGTTGCCGACTGTCGCCACCAGCTTCTCTGGGTAGAATAGCATATTCCACTGGAAGTTGCTATACAAAAGAGGCTGGTTGCTTCGGGCTCTTCGGTAGGTGTACGAGAAACCCTTGCCAGTTGGGTTCTGGGCATAGATGAAGGCGGCAGAGTCGAAAGTCTGGGTGAGATAGTACATGGATACGTGCCTGAGAATCTCATTGTTGGTGACGAAGGAAGGGCCAGTTCCTCGTCGCGGGTCAGACCCTATGTATTGTCAGTACAGAGTTGTGATATTATGCATGCGTGTGTCTAAACTCACAGATGATGAATTTCTCGGCGATCCAAGATAGTTGTCCAACTGGGTTATCATATAAAGCGAGGCCCACGGTATTCACCTAAGCGTATTAGCAAACCATCCACTCGTGGAGGACACGGGATAGAGCGTACAGTTGTGGACTGTTCCATGTAGTAGCCAATGCCCGAATTATCAAAGTCCATAGCCCTCTGCTCCTGAATCGCCTCAGCCGCAGTGAGCGTGATTCCTTGTGCCTCCAGCTCCTCAGGAGTCAAAGGGAAGAAGGGCAAAAAGTTGAAATGCGCCGCCTTGACAGTAGTATTGAACTGATCATAAATGTCAAACCCCACGACACTGCCCCAATCCGTCCCATGCACCGCATAGCTCTTGTATCCGAGAATTTGCGTCATGAGCGTGTTGAAGAGGGTGGCCGTGTCCGACGTTGACCAGCCGTTGGGAGCGGGAGACGAGAATCCAAAGCCGGGCAGAGATGGGATGACGATATCGAATGCTTGGCTGGAGTTGCTCAACATGAGCTGGTCGAGGAGGTGAAGCATTTCGAGGAACGAGCCAGGCCAGCCGTGCAGCAAGATGAGGGGAATGGCATTTGGGTGCTTAGATTTCTCATGGATAAAGTGAACGGTCTGATCTCCAATCTGTGTTGTGAAATGGTTATATCTGCATCAAGTTAGTTTGATTGCTTGCTCATTCTTTCATGGACTTGGGCTGTTTATGCTCATACGTGTTCATCTGTTCTTCTTCCCGAGTCCAATTGAAGCTCTTTATCCATTCTTTGTGTAAGCTCTTTAGCGTATCGAGCGGCATTCCGGTTGTCAAGCTCATGTTGGAACTAGCATGAGCAGCAGCGAGCTCAGCGGCAGGCAGAGTTGTCCTCCCAATCAGATCAAGCATGTGCGGCACCCGCGAAGAAAGGTTCACGGTGAAAGGCTTCACAGCGGGAATAGTCGCCGCGTTTGTTTCTGATAGCAGCCCGAAGTAGGCGCTTAGAAGAAGAAGTGATCTCATGCTGGATACTTGTTAGTGACAGAGATGGCGAGTGGTGCTTTGGCGCGTGCCTGGCAAGAATGGCTGGATTTGTATCTCGTGCTTTTGAAGCATCTTATTGAACCGATATCTTGTGATCTTATATACCTCTTTGTCATTCAATTCAACATCACGATTGAACGAAGCTTTATTCTTACTATCGGACCGCCTTGTTTCGCGGAGAGGGATTGTCCAATTTGGGAAATATGGTTGTTGCCTTTTCTGCGCGCTTCATGATAGTTGGACCCCACGTCAACTATCGTGAAGTAACATTGCTAAATAATTCTGGGTACTCTATGCATCATCAGAGAATGAACGCGTCTAATAGAAATGTAAATGCAAGTTAATAAGCCATCGAAAGGCTTCACCGATCAACACCGTGGACCGCTTGGCCTTTCAGCTGGGCGAGATGGGGCATGCAAGGCTACTTTTTGTTTCAGTTTTCTCATTCTTCCTATTGCGGAATAAACTTGAAGAGATCTTAGGAATCCACATCTAAAAAATGTCCGAGGTCATGTGTCGAAAAAGCTTGATGTTCGTTTCTTATCCATTTTTGTCGTACACTAGATGGAGCTGGGTATGAAGCCATCACAAGTTGGCCAAAATATCCATGACAGCCCGCGTCAAGACATTTAGGCCGTCAGAGAGATATCAACACTTGGACTACTGGCACCCTTTCCCCCTTGATGATGACAGTTAGCTCTAGTAGAGATTTGACCCAAAAAGGAAAAATGAAACGCTTACCAATGCTTTCCAAGCACAAGGTTGTATTTAGCAACTGCCTACCTGTACATTGTGTACCAGGAGTCGTGAACCATATGGTGGAGTCCTGGAGAACACACAGCGGGTAGAATCACGACGGATTGCAAGAGAAACCTTTGCTTATCACAATATAAGTGCCTCTACGTCTTCATCTTTCTGCATATTTCCCAGCTTCTCTTCAATCCTCTCCCTACCAATGCCTCTTGCGGCCTTGCCTGTCTCGCTTATGACATTTTGATAGACACTTGCTAGCCCTAGGCGCAACCGCCGGTCCAAGCCGGATCGTCTCGGCATAAATGCATCTGCTATTGCCGCGCATTAGTGCATCTAGGATTAGGACGCTCGTATTCGAGATGCAAGTTGGCCGGTTCATGAAGATGTCCGGGCGAGGACCTGATGCGCGGCTGGGTTGGCATTGGATGATATGTAGGGTAAACGAAAAGTAATGTATACATCAATTTCTATTCTGTGGAATCTTTTATGGGGTTACATGGCATGCAGAAGCTCTCTTACAGTCGCCATCTGCTGCAGAGAGGTGCACATGCATGAAAGCGAAAGTCAAGGAAACGGAATATGAACCCAAGCAAGGCTAAAATACTGCATTATATTCCTCGCGAGACATTTTCTTTACTGATAATGACAATTCAATAGTTATTTTCGTCTTCTCGAAGCGTATGCAGTCACCGGTGCCATATATATGTGTAAAACATATGCTTCGTTCTCAGAGACGATATATTTTTCGAATCTTATCTCGACGCAAACAGATTTGAAGCTGATTTGCAATTCTAAATCCACAAAGAGTGTCATCTCGTAATCTCCTGCTGGATTCGCCAGTTTGGGGTAGTCGTCTCTCACCTACATGTAAGCGACCTACACCGTTTCCAGCTGAAAACGGCAGACACAACCCGTGCGCTTTAATACGGCAGCTTCACACCATAAAACGTCCTACCAGATACGTATAGGTGTAGGCATCCGCCAAACATCAATTGACCAATCAAAAAGTCCATGTTGACCGATATTCACCACTTCTCAACGCCCGCAAACAACATGCTCCTTCACCGCCATCAGACCGCAACTACGAATAGCGATTCAAGCATTCAAGCCCTTGATCTGTCTGCCAACACAGCAACGCATGAAAAAGGCAGACAAAAGAAGAAATAGAACGGAAATAGAACGGCAGAGACGTAAGCCCCATGGCTGCTCTTCTTGGGCTGCAACGCATCCTCTTACAGGGCGTAAGCTCATGGAAGCCCGCATGGAACAACGCAGAAGAAGCTAAAGCAATGCTCCGAACCTGCTTCTGGAACAATTCCCGTGCAGGGGACCTTGCTGTTGGCAGTGCATGAATGCGTACATGCACTCATGCGTTCAAAACGGTCTGCCTACATCATATGCCCTAGGCCCTCCAAGCAACGCTACTCCGTATCCCCAGCATCGTGTAGCAATCGAGGACTACAACGGTAAAAAGAGGGTCCCAGGCATGGTATATGGGGTTGCGACACGTGTTGGCCCACGGCAGATGCGCCCAAGTGCCGAATAACTCGGGGCCGCCGTTAGGAGGAGCCAACAGCAGCAACAATAGCAGCCATAATGAAGCCGGGGGCTATTATTAGAAGCACTCAATACGAAGGCTGGAATAGACATGACAATGGAATGGCACAAGCAAAGCAAACAGCTATTCTCTCTCTTTAGGCCTCTCCAGGAGAAACACTTACCCAGAAGCAACTGACTCTCGTAAACCGCAAAAAGCCACATCCCCTATTCAATCACTCCCATTTTGCCCACGTACTGTACACCCACTCACACCTTTAAAAAATTTCTCCCTCTCTTCATTCTTTACCCACAACCTTAACGTTCAATCACAGGGCTCTCTATTCAAAAGCAATACCAAAACCCCCAAAGAAGAAAAAAAGCCACAAAAAAAGTTTTTCTCTCTTCGGTCCCCCTTTTCGCGTGCGAAGCGTCTCTCTTCCCCACACACACTTACAGCTTCAGTTTAGTTTAAAAGAGTCAGCTAGCTGAGGATCCGGCCTCTTGGATCGCCGAAACCATTTACCGACGACTCATTCTTTTTTTTAAATCATTTGCCTCCCGGTATCGCGGTGCGCGTTTTTGCAAAAAGAGGGTGTGGTGGGAATAGGCAGCTGAATAAAAAATAAAAGGAGACATGAAGGAACGTAGATGCAACACGAGCTGAAAGCTGAATGATGCATGTATCAAGGTGTGCGCGTTCAGCTTTTCATCGTACGTAGATTCTATGTCGCCGTCTCGTGTGTTAGTTATTCCATCGTAACATCTCAAACCAAGAGGAACAACAGAAATCCCCAACGGTCGCATTAACCCTCCTTTTTTCGGACCAACTTTCCAACAAAACCGGATCCGCGCGGTCCCTTGTTCCTCAAAAAAGGTATTAAGAAAAGGACATCGGATAACGCAACTAGAGGCGGCGCGTGGCGTAACAAGTTTGTGGGCGGCCGCCGCACGGCACGCGAATCACGCAAGATTGCTCCATAGAGGTAGCCCCCTTACTCGTGCCGAGTTTGTTTCCCGCTTTCCACATGTCATGCACATGTCACGATCGATGACTCAAAAGTGTATTCAAATTTGTTGTGTATTGTTATGGTATTCCTGCCATTCAGTTTGTGTATGTAAGAGACTCTGCTAAGATGATCCCTTCTGTCAACATCCAATCCAACCCTTATTCGACTTTGTCCCAAGCATCAATAACTCATAACCACCTCATTGCATTATACCCCTCGTAAAAAAAAAGTAAGACGCAATGTTCTACATGCAATCCCGCAGTAAAAAAAACCAAAACAAAAAAAGCAAAATCCCCTTGGGTATAAAAAGAGATCCATTTGGACCGCACCAAGTCAGCCAAAAGAAATTGCCCAACCATGCAAGAAATGCCGGGGCGCCAAAGAGAGAGAGAGAGATGAGAGAAAGCCCAGAGTCAAGCCCGCGCTATTCCCGATGCAACCAGTGACTGATCCGATGATGATGATGATGAAAATGATAAACGCCGTGTGTAACCCGATGATGGTAAATGATTTCTTTTCTCTTTCCCGCATTCTAAGGTGGTGATGCGCTGTAGTCAGAGTATGAATATTGAAGCAAGTCGGACGAGTCGTGATAAGAGATGGAGAGGCGTTGCATAAAAGATGCCGAGTAGATATATGTGTGTGGCTTGAGAGAGTAGGCTGCAAGGTTATGGATAGCAGCCCAAGAAGACGTAAAAGCGCAGGATGAAGTCGTCATCAAGAGCGCACATCATGCCCGCGTGGTAGCAAATGGGACTGTGTCGGTTGATGCCATTCACTTTCGGTGAGACTTCTTCAGCGTCTTCTTGTCGTGGTGGTATCGCCTCGTTCGCTCTCGTCCTCGGTGCTCCTCCTCCTCCTCGGGGCTCTGGTTACCATCATCACTGCCGCTACTGCTGCCGCTGCTGAGGCGCGAGCGGTCCTCCTCGTACCAGGTGCTCAGGGACTTGCCGCCAAACATGAGATCCTCGTCCTCGATGATTATGGGCTGGATCCATGTCTGAGCGTTGAGGTCGATCTCGTGGGCGGAGGGGTCCATGGCTTGTAGGTTGGGGATGATGTAGTATGAATCTGATGACATTGGTGACATGTTGAAGCGTGAAGCGGCCAGCGCAGTGTTTGTGTTGTAGAATAGTTGTTTTGGTTGGGTTGTTAATATCCTTGTGTGCTGTTCAAGGATTACAATGTTCGGATCGTGAAGCGATGATCAAGTATTGATGCCTCAGTAGTAATAATAGACGATGTGGCGATTAGGCACGTGTTGTTTGTATTGCGGATCCTGATCCGATGTATTCGTATTCAAGTGGTGGTGAAATAATAATATTCAATGTCGTGGCGTCGATGGAAAGTGTGTTTGTTGATATGGAGAAGAAAGGTCCAAGATATCAGGCTCCATCCGGGGGAGTAGGGAGCAATATATTCCAAGTCTGAGATGGCCGAGCAGCGGCCCCAGTCGCTACGAGTCAGAGTCGGGATAAAAAAAACTAGCAACAAGCGTTGCGTCCCACCGAAGAGCCTCGCCTCCCTCCCTTGTCTAGTCTTAGTCTCGGGTCCCATAAGCGCAACTTGCGGAGGGAGGGGGCGTGTCTCAATAGTGTGAAAAGGGCAAAAGCAGGACTGGGGGGGTTGGATTCTGGCCGGGACCAGCCGGATAGGGGTTAAAACAGGAATTGGCGATGATGTCTCGAACATGTCAGGATGACCCACGAAAGCGCCGGGCCTCTGCACTGATAAGCAGGTCTCTTTGACTTGAGCCTACGCCGTGAGCATTGGCAAATGATGAGATTACTGTGACAGTATGAGCACGACACAGGTGGCGGTGCTGGGCTTTGGTTTCTGGCACTGGCTTGGAGGGGGTGCGCCCAGCTCTCCGAGAATTCGGACACGCGGGCTGCTCAACGAGGCAGCTGAAGGTAGCACATTTGACGGCATCTTGACAGCACTGACAGCAGCAGAATTCAACTCCAGGTCACCAGAAGCCCCCCAAAGCACAGAAAAGGGGGTAGCCAACGGGGAAAAGGGGGGGTGTGAAGCCAACAACCTCAAAGACGGAAGCTTGGGCTCTTTTGTCGTCTCTCCGCCTTTTACGGAGCACTGTTCCTTTCATTCATAAAAAGAAACGGTTCAATGCTTTGTTTTTTTATTTCCCTCTCCCAACGTCTGCTCTTGCAGCCCGACCAACCCGTCTCTGGGCTCCGTTTAATCTATTTGGGTAGCATCGAGCTGCCTGCTGCTTTGCCACGCGGCACGCCGACGCGCGGTTTTGCAGGGCACACGATGCGCTGGTTCTGTCTGCTGTCTCAGCCCGCAGGGATTAGATTTCATTCCCGTCTTCGTCGGCATGGCTAATTCAGCTTGTGAGCCTCGCTGCGGGGGACACGTATCCAGACAGATACGAGTCGTATTGCCGTATAGCACTGTATGAGATTGAGGCGTGTTGGTATACTTGTACAGTAAATTACGGAGTCGCTATTAGAGCCCTGCATTGCCCCAGACAATTCAAGGGGGACACGGCCCTGCACCGCCAGTTCATCGGACAGGTTCAATTTCCTTCATGTCGCCATCGGCAGGGGTTTCGTAAAACGGCGGTATAGGCTTTGATTCGCCTCTTGTTCTTGATTTGATCTCGCCAAAGAGCGGTATCCCGTCGCAAAAGACGCAACGATTGACAGCGATGGAGCCAGATCCTACGGCTGCTCCGTGTACAGTATTGGTTGGGGGTGGCTCAAATCCCTCAGCTCGCTCGGTCTGAGCCACACAGTCGCCCAGCACACTGTAAGATGCTTCTCTCCATGCTTTTAACCCACAAATCACAACGGAATAAACCGAACGGGCAAATCGAAACGGTCTGTCACCAGCCCAATCGGCCTCGACATGTGCCATTCGGCCCCATCACGCCGAAGAGGCACAAGGACGCGGCCACCCTCCTTCATGGCGCGTCTAAAGCTACTCCAAGCAGTTTAAGGGCCTCTTGACTGTTCCTCCTGCCCTACGGCCTACGGAATGGAGCCTGTACCCGAGCGTTTCAAGCCTCCCCGGCAAAGAGGATAACGGTTCCCCAAAGAGGCCTGCCGTTTCCGCTAATGCCGCACATACTGTGGGTGAGGCAACAAGCTTGATGCAAAGCAAAGCGTCTCCGCTAGGCCGGAGGGTTTTGACTTCTCCGGGGCATCTGGCGGGTCGCCCTCGGTGCACTTACACTCATATATCCGGTATGCGACTCCCTTATTTCCCTTCTTTGCTCCGGCCGGTTTTCACCAATTTTGCCATCCAATGCGAGGTACAAGAGATGAAAGGAAAACGGGAAAAAGGGCCGGCAAGGAAAGCTGCGGCGTATTACCAAGTCCTAGACTAGACGGACTATTTGTTTCCCTGCCAATCAAGTGCGACCACCAGTCAAGCAGAAGTGCCAACAACGCACGAATACCAATCAACACAAGAGGTGCATGCAAGTAAAATTAAAGCACAAAAATAAAAATACAAGAAATCTTTTCTTAACCAGACGCCCGGATCGACATGCGGTCCAGACGTCAGAAGAGCGGTCGGTCTCCAAAGTTGCATTACCGTCGCTGTCAAAAATGTGACTTGTCTCTACCGGCACAACCGACTCTCTTTTCTTTCCTTCTCTTTGCCGGAACACAAGAATAACCGCCGGTCACATGTATCGCACAAATATGCTTGTTTCTTTTTTTTTTCTGGTTCCGAATGCGTAGTTTATCGGAATCTTCCTTGATCTCGCTGGGATTCGGCGGTTGATTCCGAGCCATGACCGAGTAATGCAGCATGTGTGTTAGTCGTCTGCTTGTGACTGCAAATCTCGGCACCCAAAACAAAGAAACGGAGGATGCATGTAGCCCCGTTGGGCGTGCCCTTCTTTCATCTGATGCCGCTTTGATAGGCTGTGAAATAAGTAATCCCTTTGTTTAATACGGTGGAATGTTTGCCGCATCGGGCAATTTCAAGCGCCCAAGGCAGAATGAGACGAGGCCAACAACTCATCCATCCAGCCAATCACCCGCGGCACAACTCGTGATGCCTGCACTGCCCGTTGATTGCCAGCCGACAACCTGCATCAGATCCCAATTTTCTCTCATTGCTTCGTATGAGAACTTGCCACAATGCACAATGAAAGCCACCTCATCTCCGCCTGAATCCCATCACAGACCCCAGCCAAACCTCATCAAAAGACATACAAATAAAGTATTCACTCATATCACAGTGTCTGTATTCAACCGCCGCATCAACTCACACACCACCTCTTCGGAGCCCAGTCTCCAACAACTCCAGCTAGCCCAAGAGCAGCAACTCTTGTAGACCGTCACAGCAATTCGGCCCCGAGAGCCCTACCAGCCTACCTTATCCGCCCGCATGCATGCACGGCCGATCGGCTCGCATCAGGCAGAGACAATTTCCAGGGTTCAAGTCCTGCCCCAACAAGTCGATATGCGGCCCGAAGCACCCCGCGAATCGACCAATATGAGTGGATGCCGCATACCTGTAAATTCTACCATGTAGGCGCAAGACTGGATGCATCATCCATATCTCCAGGCATACAGCATACAGTAGCTGCAGGTAAACCGCCTAGTATTAGGCAGCACAAGTCAAACAAGACTCATACAACAGACTCACTAGGCGAAAAAGACTCTCACGCACAGCCCATATGCACGGCCAAAGGCTTTTGCCTAAACGACAGGGCCAGCTGTATCGATCTGATTGAAAGATGCGTGCATATGGCCGGTGAATCACTCGCATCATCTGCCTAAGCCCCCTTGAGGCCCATCCTATCGAATCTCTGGGATTGGAGATGGAGGGAGGGGGCGTGTATATAGGCGGGAATCGGGTTGATGGGATGTATCACATAAAAAAACCGCACAGCGAATAGTAACTGCCATGATGGTAATGCTAATAGTCCGTCAAAAATGCAACGAGTCCATTGCCAAGTCATACGCTCTCGCGCTGCACTCCATCTCTTCTTCTTACACATGCTTCTGATTCTAATTCTCCTTCTGACTCATACATATTGTGTGCGACTCACACCTTAAAAAAAAAAAGAATGCTTCGAAATATCCCGCCCAACATGTGGCTTACTGCCGCACACACACCTTCTTGGTCGATCTTCTTCTTCGGGGCCCCGTGGCCGTTGCTCATGTTGCACATGTCAGCGTCCAATTACTTGCCAGGCAATCCAGTACCGATGCCGATCGCCGACCACAAGAGCAGCAAAGAATGGCGCAGGGCGCAAATCCCGGCATCTGGGACGAAGACAAGATGAACTGCGGATTGGTTGATGGGATTATAATTGATAGCGACACCGCCAATCTGAGATGGATGGATGCACAACCAACATCATCAACAAACGTCAGGTGTCGACAACAGTAACGGATTGCCTCTTTCGGCCTACCGTTTCTACCCCGGATTTTGCTGCATCGCCATCAACACTGTACAGTCCTCTTGGACAATTTAATCGGTATGGAGTAGACTACAGTCACTCGGCGATTCGTGAGCCGTCCGGAATCCACCCAATAATTCGCCGTTGGCTGGATTGTCCGGATCCTCTCTCGGCGCAATAGCTCGTTCCATTTTGCCATTCCCCTCCTCTTTTCGCGGCGGTTGGCCACTTAGCCGCCCACTTGGAGTGCCTCCAGCCGAGTCGTATCCAGCCGTTGGCAAGAACAATCTTATCGTCTGCCTTTTCATTACTCGCGCAAGCTTTTAAGCTATTGCTATTACTCGCACTATCCGTCTATTACTCGTATTACTATCAATCGTACCAGCATCTCCCCTGCTGCCTTGGCATATCCTCCCAACGTCTCCATAGATGGCGGGGTTGAGCCCGCTTCAACCCCGCATATGCTCCGTCGAGACCACTTACACTGACAACGAAGATATTTGCTGCTAGCAAAAAAACCTGATATTCGCCCTTGGCAGGATCCGTTGCTTCTTCATCCAGAAGGTAAGCAAGCACAAGCGAGTGGCAGTGGCGAGAGACGAGTAAGCCAAAGATGGAGATGAAGGAACCGCTCGGGGCGTGTTATACAAGCCTCCATGCCCATGTCCATGTCCATGTCTATCAATGCTGTGCCCTGCTATCAACCAGGGCCTCTCATCTCGGCCTGTGGCCTGCCGAGGAGACACAACTTGGCAACGTTACAAAAATACACAATTAACCGTATCTAAAATGCCCTTGCGCTAATGCTTTGCATCGACTTTGCCTATACCGTCACCTTGAAACGTTTCTTCACCGTTAGCACAAGCTCGGAGATCATGTGCCAGGATTTTGTGCACGCGCCCTTGAAACTCGCCCTACTTTTGCCAAAGCCGACATTTTCCATCTCAAACACAGCAAATAGAATGCCAATGCAGAAATCGGAACATTTGCAGCAACATCTCAGATCTCAAATGAGGGAGAGGGCTTTTCTTGGCAGTCACAAGGCCAGATAAGGCGACTTACATGCTAATGTTTTAGTTTCCGAGATTTCACGATGAGGCGTACGTGGGAGGTCCAAGATACGCATATTCGCACGGTATTGCTAGGGCTATGCTTGGAGAAGGCGATTCCATCCGGTTTAAAACGGCAGCTATTTTATATTGATTGCTATGCGTCTTTTATAGAAACACTGTTATTGGCCGGTGTATCACCAATCGATGCTAGCTCAGTCTAGCCTCATGGTTCACGTTGTTCTCAACTCGGTATTTCCATCGTCTATATCCAGTATTCTAACCCAAACTCTAGACTATCGCTTTGGCTAATTCTTCAGTTCAATTATCAGGAGCAAACTGTCCATTGGCAAGCAGCCGATCTCTGTCCTTGAGCTTGGTCTGCGCAGGACGCTCCCACTCTACGACGGCTTTCCCTCTCTCGCGCTCGCCACGGCGCTGACGAGCCAGGAACACTCTTTGTCCAATCCTCACTATGTTACCCTTTATATCTCTGCATGGCCAGTCCTCCGGGGGTGGCTGTGGGAATTCTGGCCACTCAATGTACTCAGACTCTTCTTTATAATGAGAAATCTGTCTTTCGGCTTGTCTTTTATACACCCAGTCGTTCAATACCGCTCGGTACTCGGAAACAGGATGATCAAGCTTGACGTCCGGATGCTGCACCCATTCCTCCAATTCTTGAACGTCGGCCGGATTCCGCTCACTATATCGAACGTCTTGGAAATGCGTGTCGCCCGTAATGATGTCGTAAAGAGTAAATATGACCCCTTGGACATCGTTGCGATCCTCTCCATATCCAATACCACCTATCTGCCCGCAATAGTTAAAGTCGAACAACATAAGGGCGTCGGTCTTCGGATCAATGAGAAGGTTTCGTGTCGCGATATCCTGATGAGCGATGCCATACTTGAAATTCAAGTCATCGACTACAGATATCAGCTGCTGGAGCCATTCGAGCTTGAACATGCGCGACTTGTGCTGGTCCAAGGTGCCGCCAGGAATATAAAGGCTTGTAAAGCCGACAACGCGGCCGCGTAGCTCGTCTAGCACAAGTCGATCAAACGGAACAATGTTTGGGTGCGCGGGCAGACGCATCCACACATTCATCTCGTGCCAAAACTTATGTAGGCACTCGCTGAGGATGTAGTACTTGAAGGCAACTTTTGTCTGCTCAGTTGCATCTCCGCGAGGCAGATAAGAGACAAGATCGACGTTTGGACCAAATCGATTTAATTCGAGCAGCTCTGAACGGAGCACAGTATTGACATGTTTGGGACGCTGAACGTCCTGCAGGGGAGGGTAGTAAACAGACATTGTTTGGTCGTCTTCAGGATTAGTTGAGCTTGACATCAATTCGCCATTCTGCGATAATTGGACGGCATATACGTCAGGTCCCAGAATATCAATGTGCTTCTTAAGATGTCCAATGGCAACATCCGGGGTCTCTTGCCTCTCGTCCATGGTAACAGAGATAACGCGTCGTTGATCCCAGTCCAGGATGAACCAGTTGCTCGGTCCGCCAGGGTAAAGGAAACCCCCCGGCGCGCCATAGCGCCATTCGTCGTCAATCATGTCTCTCTGGTTCTTTGGGGCGTTCGAATAATGTACAACGAGGAAAATGTTGGAAGGAAGACAACACAAAAAATAATTGCCGCAGTGATAAGAACAGCGTTTACGGCGTGAATCTATAGGGGATGTAAAAAGTTAAAATGATGTAAATCTCCACTCTAAGATATACCTAGGAAGATAATAAGTATACCTAGGTAGGTAGGTACTTTGTAACGAGCATAAAGTACCTACCATCTACCTAAAATGTGGCATACCAACTTATAACTTCAACCTTTAGTCGTGTCACCAACGCAGCCCGTTACTTACCTATTCAGTAGCTGTGATTCTTGCTACATGATATACAGCTAGGCTAGATGTGTACACATTTCAATCAGAAAGGAACTTGGTGATCTTGATGAGTAACTATGACAAGGAGTAAATGCTTGTGCAAACGGATATCCTAGCGCTAAACAACTTACACGGCCATATACTTTAGGTAGGCGGCTGATAATGACCATTAGCCAGTATGGTTATTTTCCAGTCCATAGATTTATTTGAAGATGATTATCTGATTGAACAAGACTATCTGAAAAAATGCCTTGCAGTAATTCTCTTACCAACGTGCATGTAGTCTCATGCAAGCTGCGCCGCAGGTGGCTTAGCACTGATGGTATCCGTACCATAGGCGCCAAGTCCACTCTTCGCACAACGCCGCCAAAAGTCACTCTCTAGTCATTTTAGGCTGGAAGATACATGCACTGGTTGGCATCATGTAGATGGCCAAATAGTGTGCGAATAGCAGGATATGGGATTTCATGGCTATTGGGTGCAAAATCGAGCGTCGGGCATATTGGATTGCCTGGTGCAGTACCAAATAGGAAATACCACTGCCATCAGTGCAAGGCTGCATGTAATCGGCCTGCGTTGCGGCCGGCGCGTATGTACGATGCAATCGACGGCCGCCCGAAGCCAATGGATACGCAGCGCAGAGTTGTTCTGAAACAAATGGTAAGTTATGTTGGTGATGACTTTTAAAGAACGAATAACGATGCATTCTGCAGCTATTTTCAAGAGGCCTCATGGCCGTAATATCTGCCTTTCGAAGAGCCTCGTTGCCTGTATCATACACGTATATAGCTAGCAAGAATCGCCATATCAGAATGAAGAACAAGAATCCATATTAGCATCGCTCACTTAGGAAACTGTTGGAAAAGAACCCATATTCATTCGTTATTCAGATCACCTTGTCTAAAAGATATTTTACTAAAAAGAAAATCCCCATGTCCATCCGATCGCTTGCACACCTCCAACGGCGCCAGCTCGGCCTCCGCTCTCCCTTCTCAATCTTTCGATTCTTCAGAGTACAGCAGAACCAACCACTACCAATCAAGCCTGTCCAGATCCCAGCTGCGGCAAATGCCTCTCTGGTACACAGCACTCGGAACCCCAAGAAATGCACGTGCGGATGGTATCACTTTTACGGCAAATGCGGCCACCTGTACCAGCGATTTGCAGGCACATGCGGCAGAAAGACGACGAGCTCTGGGCGAAGCGGATTCTGCACGACGCCTGCACCGAAGAATGTCATTTACGGATATTATGTCAACGAGAAGTGCACAAATGCAAAATGCACCGTTTGCCGCAGACGAGGCCATTAGGTTGGGTTGAATAGAGGGAAGATGCCAGTGGTTGGTTCAGTCATTATATGTAACCTTCATAGACACAAGGCTAGACGTAGCGCTCTTTACTGGCAATTGGACATATTTACATACATTTCCATGAACAATACTGAGTATATCTGGGAGAAGTTACATGTATCCAGCACCCCGGCGCCCCAGCTGTAGCGCAACAAGGCAGCCAGTCCACATATAAAAATAGCAGTAGCAACAGTAGCAGCAGACATGTAGTACATAGCAGCAGTAACAAACCACAGCTGGAGTACTGGATAACAAAATTGGGGTGCTAGATAATTTTCTCTACATCTAGCTCCTGCTTCTACAAATATAGTTGATTTCAACGTAAAGCTGGAAAGGAGGCATACTGTCATGACCCCATCGTAATGTTAGTCAATAGATGGCCTCGCATAACACCAGCCACATGCAGGAACAATGGCACAGTGCACCTACAAACGAGAGCAATTTATGCCACAGTTCAAAACGGTGAAGAAAAGGGAATACGTAGTAAAATAATAACAAATAATAGCCAGGCTGTCCTTGTTCGATTAAAGCGCGCAGCACTCCAAAACACTCAATGACATCATCACTTCTTCAGCGACACTTATACGCTTCTAAAATCACAAAATCGATGCGCAATCAATCTGTATCAAACATCATACACCCCCACCCCCCCCCCCCCCCCCCCCCCCCCGGTGTGGCCTCTAAAAAACATTCACATACCTGTTTTTCTATCAACGCTGTCCATCGAGTCATGCTGCTAATGAAAATGAACCAGATATGAATCCTCGATGACGACTCCGCCGCGTCGGTTCTTCGGATGGCAATTCTGCTCTCTTTTCAACTCTCTGCAAGGGGCCGCATGAAACCCGCATCCCCCGTTACGTCATTGCGTCATCCCGCCCTCGTCTTATTCCTCCACCCCGAAAACTTGTTCCTTTAAAACTGCTATTTCTCTACCATTTTTTCGCCTCCCAATCAACAGCTATGCTATTTGTCTTCTATTCTCTCTTTTCACCATTTCTGTTTCAGCCAACTGTGGCGACGGTTCTACCGGGCATGTTTTCCGCGGAACTTGCCCTCCGCATATCGGACACTGCTCCGGATGACGACACGCTGACCTTGCCATCGAGATCTCAACCATCATCGACTTTTGACTATTCTGCATAGCCCATGATCCATCAGGGTCATGGGACGAGCTGTCGCACCTTTGGTATGAGCCTTGTATGAGCATCCCATGATACATCACCTCGTCATCTGCAAAATCTCGCAAAGCTACTCTGCCATCCAGATCTGGTGACAGCCTCGGTTCAGCTCCAGCTCAGCTCCAGCTCAGCTTCAGGTTAGTTCAACTGCAACATACCCTCAATCCTCCTCCTCACCCACTCTTCACACTTGACATCCTCATACTTCTTCTCCTCGCCCTCCTTGACAACCACAACGCTGCACGTCTCATGCAGCCCAAAGCCCCAAAAGAACGGGATGCTCACCCGCTCCTTGCCGCTGTAGTTTCTTGCCCGGTGCACCGTGCTGATGTAGGCATCGTTTGTGATGCGCTGCATAAAGTCGCCCAGGTTCACCACCAGCGTGTCGGCAATGGGCTTTGCGCGCAGCCACTGGCCCTGCTTGTTGAGCACCTGCAGCCCGCCGTGCGAGTCTTGCCAGAGGATGGTGAAGAGCTGGAAGTCTGTGTGTGAACCGATCGACACTTGTTCTTCATCATCATCTTGTAGTATCCCAGTAGCACCAGTAGCCCTTTGTGTAATCGGCGGATAGTAATTCAGGCCATACGACGCATCGGGATACTTGACCTTGTCATCAAAGACTCCCTCCTCCAACCCCAGCGACAGCGCAAAGCACCTCGTCAGCGCCCTCGCCAGCGCCAGACACTCCCCGATATGCCTCACCATGCTCTCCTTCAGCCTCGGCAGGTTGCTCGTCTTCTCCCACGGATACACTTCATTGCGCAGATGCCTCTTCACTTCCTCCGGTATATCCTCAAGCCCTTCTTCCCCAACCGCAGGATCATACTGCGGGTCGTAGCGATACGAAAACGACTCCCGCACATCAATCCCCTCGTACGGATTCAGCCGCTGCGTGTCCGGTGCCTTGTAGCCATTGCCCCATTTCGCATTCTTGTAGTCGGCCTTGATCTTGGTCTCCATGTCCTGCCTGAAGAACGCCAGACATGCCTCGTAGGCGTTTTGTGTCACGTCCTCGGGAATTCCGTGGTTCTTGATGTAGAAGAAGCCCATGTTCTGGGCTGCCGCGCGCACCTGCTGGGCGACGGCCTGGCGCTCGCCGAGGGACGGGCTGAAGATGGACGAGATGTCGATGATGGGCATTTCAGAGGGCAGCGCATCACGGAGGGGAGATTTCAGGACGGTTCGTGTGATGATGCCGTTGGGCGAGGCGAGGCGCAGCTGCGTCGTTGCGACTGTTTCTGCCGCCATGGCGATGTATATATAAGCTGTGATATTTGGAAATGAAGCTGGACAATAATTAATCAGATGCTGCTAATCGCTGTGCAAGAATGCAAATGATGCTGTTTCTTTGTCGTTTCATGTAGATATTAAAACAGCCAGCATCAACGCCCACCCAGAGATAAAGATGCGGGGGATGCCGTGCCTTGCTTCCGGAGTACGCCGATCTACTGCAGATGCATCTCCACCTCGTATCTCTCGATATAACCAGATGGCAGCAGATATAGCAAGATTCCATGTCACAAACCAACATGCCATTTCTAGAAGGAACAATTGAGAGCAATGATTTCCTTGACATTACCTAAACGGCGATTGGGCTGCACTCTGTTATGTTATGGCAGTGCAGCTCCTTCACCAGCTGATATCATTAATGCCAGTAGTCGTAGCTTAAACTCCTGCGCAGATGAGTGCAAATGGATGCGAGATGAAGTGCAGCGTCTCCAAAGGCTTTTGGTTCTATTAAACCCACGGAGGGTTGAATGTGGTTATTATTCTTGGGGCTGGTACCTAATCGGGTTACATAGACATCTTCAAATTAATAAGTCACAAATGGCAACGAGAGCTATTGTAATCAATACTGTTCCTGCTATTGAGCCAAGTTTACGCTCCAGTACGTAAAACAGCCATCAGATAGCTTTTATTTCTGCCAGCCTGGTATTTTCAGCACTCCCATCAATTCATTTTTGCGTATCTGCTACTTGAAGCTGCGCGCCACCAGTCCGCCAGCAATTACCCAAGACTCACGCAACGTTGAAAGAAGATTGAAGTTCCAAAAGGCCAAAGAAATAGTTACAAAAGCTTCTCGCATCATGTAAAGAGTTCATCGACGATAAAGAAAGCGGTCTAAGAGACGGACGGGAGCAACTGCAGCTTGACGAGTAGTATGGTGCGACTTGGCGAATTCAAGGAGAAGGTACCTCTGTCGCTGTGATGTTCTGGTCTGGCTGGCTGGTGGCTCTGGATTATTGGGATTTTGGTATTCTTCGCCTGTCGCTGGCATCTCCGAGTCGCTTGCGATGCTTGCTGTTGTTGTAGTTTCTTCTTTTGGCTTACCTTTTTGATGGACCAGCAATGCGAATTATATATTGCCGTAAAATATTTACCTTGGCTGATGACTTTTTCTCTTTTGTTCGGCCTTGATAGCTCAATTTGGGTTCTGTGGCGGCGACATCTTACGGATGTTTGCCAGTAATCCGTCGGAAAATGAGGGGGGCCTTGGCGTGAAAGTTCAAGCTATTATAGCTAGGGAGGAGAGAGCGACATGATCTTTGGGGCGGCGTGGGAGTCGGTTGTGCTGTTAAAGAGGGAAACCAACGTGAGGGCTGGTGGAGGTAACAAGGCACCTTGGTTAGGCTAGAAGAAAGATGTGACGCGATTATAATAGAGAGCAGTTCCATCATGGATCTCATCAACGCGCGATTTGCCACGGAGACACAAACGCCACACCTTCTACTACTACACGAATATAACGACGACGTGGGACGTCTCCAAGCCGCGCAGGATTGTCAAGACCATACAGTCTCTTTATCCATCATAGATGGGTAGTTGGTGAAAAAAACACGGAGGCGTCCATCACTATAAAGGGAATTGATGATTTCTTCCTCGACGGCATGGGACGGAAATGAACAAGGGTGCATTCGTTTGATCATATTCTCACGAAGATGATGATGCGTAATATACACCCTATTGAAGAAACAAAACAAAACATGACGTCTCCCGTAATCTGGTAAACCCTGTTTGGAACCAGTAACGAGCCCATCTCCTTGAACCCTTTGTTAAAGCCAGATGTCAGGGATAATGACCTCGTTCAATGTACAAAGATCAACGACCTTGCGTCCCTGGCCATTGACCGTCCACCAAACGATGAACCCAAGGGTAATCAAATGGTCCACCTTGCCCGCCCTTGGGCGTCGAGGTCGCCCATTGTCTTGTCCAAAACTTTGCAGTCATCCCGGCCCAACGATTGTACGAATTTGCTCATAAGCAATAGCATCCGTACGTAAAAGCCACGGCGCGTGTATATGACATGTATTGCGTTGATGCAGCTGACATGTATGTAATCGCCTTTACCAAGACTGCACCGCCCATAGTCTGCTGGATACGAAAGCAGCAACTCAAATGTTTGACTTGATGCGCATCGACAAGTCCGCAGCAAAGCTGACCAAGAAAGATTTCCCCATCCATCCAAATCGTGTTCAAATCCAGGCCAAATTTCGTCCATCTCTCCGTCCAGCTCTCAGACACAGTCACGGTAAAAAGGAAAACATTTCACGGGTCAATTCTTGAATTCATCGGGTAACCCCCGAAATCCCAATCCCATTCTCAAAACTGAAAAAAAGAAAAAAGAAAAAAAAACCAAACACAAAACCAGACCCAAAAAAATACTCAAACAAACAAACAAACAAACAAACAAAACAAAAAGCCACCTTGGTATCTTTTCCCCCTAAACGCCTTTCCCCCCCTTTCCCCCCCTTCCCCCCTCCCAAACTCCAAATATAAAACACAACGGAAAAAAAAAAAAAAAAAAAACTTTGTCTCCCTCTTCCTCCTTGGCTGGAGCTGATGGGAGCCCGAAGGCTCAACCACCGTTTCCAAACACTCAGCCGGTACTGAGAAGGGAGCCTTGCGGCTCGACCTCCCGTTCCCAGGCTTTGTGTTTGGTGCTCGGATGGGAATCTTTCGACTCGACCATCCCACCCATCCCCATGACCGGCAGAGAGATGACAGGAACTCTTGCGAGCTCGACCGTCACCTCTCAAGCGCTTCCCCGAGACCAAAAGCAACGGGAGCCTTGCGGCTCAACCATTACTTCTGGCTCCGGGTCGACGCCCGGGTCACCCGCTTCGGAGCGGGTGTCCCGTTACCGGCCATGCCCAGGCCGGCAGCGAGCCGTGAGGTTCGCTGCCGAGCAGTGGCTGCCGAGACCTTCGGCGCGGGCTTGCTGACGCGATTTGCGCCAGAGGGCCTCGCCGCCGTGGTCTTGGAACCGGCAGTTCCTGCGGGCCGGCCTCGCTTGGGCTTGGCCGCCTGGGGCTTCGCCGCCTCCTCTTGGAAGTCGGCCAGGGGCTCCTTCCAGACCACACTTTTGCCGCGGCGAGTCCTAGGGACTGCTGCAGCGCCAGCGGGTTGGTCGGATCCCTGGGCGCCGACGACCTCCTCTGCTTCTCCTGCTGCCTCGGCCTGCCGGGCGAGCACCTGAGCTGGGTACTCGGCCTTCCCCTTGTTACGGCGGGTGTTGGCGCGAGTTTGGTGGACAACGTCCACCGTCCCCTGCTCGGTACGTCGCGGACGTCCAACAGGACGTCCTACCCGGACAGGTGCCGCGGGACCAGAAGGCTTCGGGATAGCGCTTCTGGCCGTTAGGCGAGTCGATCGGCGGGAGGAAGAAACAGAGGTGGGCGGGGCAGGGGCTGGGGCAGCTGGAGGAGCAACGGCCGCCGAAAGGGGATCTTCGTCACCCGAGTCCGCGTGGGCAGCTGCGGCAGCAGGCTTCGGCGGTGTGGATCGGGTTCGGCGGATCTTCTTTGCGGCAGGCTCAGCTGCAGCCTCGTTCTCACCGTCTTCGCTGCTCTCAAACTTGCGCTTCTCTGGCTGCTGAGTTTCCATGTTAGGGCTTCTCGCACCAAGAGGTTGTCGCTGGGTCTGCGCGATAGGAGAGCCGAGCGCCGTTGTCGAAGGCCGCCTGTGCTTTGAGCGCCGAATAAAGTCTCGCATGTAGTCGCGCTCTGGTGAGTCGGCACGGGTGGTGGCGGATGATGGCGCGGGCTGTGACTGTTCGGCTTCCTTCTCGGCGTTGGCTGTGAGAGCTAGCTTGCGGTTGACGGCCTTGAACGACAGAGTGTCGCCATCCGAGTTGAACGCGGCGATGTTCTGGATGGGTGTCTTGGGTGTCTTGGCAGGCGACGGGTCTGCGAGACCAGGAATCGTAGTATTGCCCTCAAGCTCGTAGGAGACGTCGGGGAAAGCGAAGCTGACATCGTTTTCGTCCTGTGGCGGCAGCGAGGGTGAGCTGGTAGGAAGCCTGTCATAGGCGGGAGAGGTAGCGCTTTGCGGAGCAGGCGAGCTTGATGGCAGTCGGTCGTAAGCGGGCGAGGTGGTGCTCTGTCCCTTGACGGGGGAGCTGCCAAAGTCGGAAACGACGAGGGTCTTGTTATGTATAGCGCGCTCGTCGGCGTAAAGTTCTTCTTCCAGCTCCCACATCTCATCCTCTGTGAGTCGAGGCTTCGGAGAAGAGCGAGGGGCCTGGACTAGTGGCGATTTCGAAGCAGAGGGAGCGTTCGAGTAGTGAGTCTCGTCTGCACCTTGGCTTTCGGGGAAGAGGTGGGAATATTCAAACGGCAGCTTAAACCGAACAAAAAGTCTTCCGCGCTCTTTGGCGACCACGACCTTAGCGTGGCCATTGCAATGAGTCTCTGCCATCTTGGCCAGTCGTTCCACTGCGGTTTGCTCATTATCTGGCTTGAACACATCATCGGCGTCGAGGGTGCTGCCGGTGGCTCTCATAATGGCCTTCATCCTCTCCTTGTATTTGGCGGTGAGAACATCCATGGTCTTGTTGGCTTGTTGACTGGTATCTTGAGATGACACGTCGGGCGCGTTGGCTAGAGCTGTGGGAAGATTGGAAAATTCAGGCACGTTGGCTGAAGGCGATGCGATAGAGTTGATGCTTGCAGAAACGTTGGAGATGTCAGAAGTGCGGGGGATTTCTTCCAGGTGGGAGAAAAGTTCAGAGGCAGGCATAACCCCGCTCGCGCTCACAGATTTCTGAGGTGAAAGTGGGATTCGCCGCGAAGCACGAGTCTTGAGCAAGTTTCTGAACAGCGGCTCACTTTTGCGTCGCCTGATGATTCTAGTCCGTTCACTCTCAGTAGCATTCTCGGGGCTGTTCATCCAGGAAACAGAACCAGTGAATGAGGGAGAAGAGGGTCCAAAGTCGATATTGCTGAGATTGCAGCTTTCAAATACGGAGGCTGATTCGGTGTGCTGCATCCACGCGGGTAGAGACTTGACTAGCTCCAATTCGTTATCGGCTTTGTGCGTAGCTGCTGTAGAAGATGGTTTTCTGCTGGGCGTAGAAGGCTGGAAGCTGTGCCACTTGGAAGGGGTAGGTTCGCGGGGGCGAATATAGCGAGTAGGAGATTCAGGCGCTACAGAGCTGACAGGAGAGTACTCGTTGCGAGAAGGAGATGGAAACTCTGGTGAAAGACGAGTGACGGGCTCTGACTTGCGCTTTGGTCGCCAACGCGCAAAAGGCGACTCTTTGGAGATTCTGCCAGGCCACTGAATCAGGCCAGGGGTTGAATTTGAAGATAATGGCGATCTTGTTGTATTGGGGCTTCTGATAATGATGGATCCTCTTCTCTCGCGATCATCTCTCTGTGCTGTCGGAGGACTAGCTGGCTTGATGGGAGAAGGCTCAGCACGAGGGCTAGAAGCAGGCAACAGCTTGACAATTGTGTCGCTGAGTCTCTTGCGGAAGCTCTTGTTGCTCTTTGTCGGGCTCGGTGATTGGGTAGATCTCTTCGTAGGCGACTTGGCGTCAGACTTGGATTCGTTTGGCTCTAAAGCCAGAGGGCTCGATGGCTCAGTGACGTCTGCAATATCTGATTGATCCGGTGCACCGCTAGCAGCAAGGGAGGTTCGTGCATTACGAAGAGTCGATTGGAGGTTGGCCGCAGCCTCTGTGACGGATGCCATGCTGACGTCGATCTCTGTGACGCCGGTCTGAAGAGCTTTGGAGATGAGGGGATCGAGCTCGCTGAAAATGGCAATTCTATTGCCGCCGCTGGCATAGTCGAAGTCGATGGAGGAATAATCGCGGAAGCGGCGCTTCAGAGGAACAGTAAACTTGGAGAATGTGCTCTGCTTGGCCAGGAGTTTCTGCTCTGATAGATCGGTGTGCTCTTCTTGGAGGAAGCAGTTTGCGACATTGACTGTAGCAACTGTAAGCCTTTGCTCAAAACTCATCATGGAATCAATTTCACAAAATGCAACAACATACCCTTGGCGCGAACCATTATGCCCACAACTTCTGCTCGAGACAGAGGTGATCCTTTCAGCTCCAGCTCGGCCTCATGCGCTGGCGGCACAAATGAGTTGAGTCTGCGGCGACTCGCCCTCTGTGTCTCTTCTGGGTCCTCGGCAACTTCGACGGCAACGGCCATCCGAGGCCTCACTGCCCGAGCGCTCGCTGATCGTCCAACTCGCTTCATGATCGTTCTGCCTCTGTGGATAGTCAAAGGGCCGGCCACAGCGGGGACGCGGCACCAGGCGCGGGAGATTATCGCTGGTCTTTGGGCGACGAAGTCGTCTGCCCACGATCTAAATGCCAAGAAAATCCATGTCAGCACCCATCATCGCCAAAACCGATCAACTCCAGGAATCGAAAGATACGCACGTCTCGAGGATATTCGTCTTGGCCTCGCTGGCCGCAGGGAAATAGGTCACAAACGATGCTGGATGAGGATTGCTGCCACGCGCCAAGTTAGCCCACCATCTCCAACATTCCTCCCAGCGAGGTCCAGTCGCAGCAGAAGTCTTACATCGCAGCGGGTTCGCACCCGTGAGCCCATGGTGGGCTGGTGATACCGTCCATGGCTGCCAGAGATAGCTTGCGGCGTTGTCAAATTGGCGGGAAAGCTGGCGATGTCGATTTAAAAACGAAGAAATGGCACCGAATGCCAAAGATAGGAATAACTTGAAGTTACAAAGATACGTACTCTTTCGGTGAATTGTCGCCCCACGTGAAGACGCGTTGATTGAAAAGTGGTTGCAAGGGTGAATAAATGAACAAAAAAAAAGGGCGTCGCGTTTCTAAAATGCGTGCGTGCGCGATGCCCAAATTTCATTTCTTGGATTGCAAACGAATCGTTTGTTTACATTGAGCCCCAATAGGAAATCAGCTAGTAAAGGCTAGTCTTAATCGGGTAGTTAATCGAGTGTGGGGTAGATTTAGAGTTAATTGCCCCGCTAGTAGCGAGAGACGCGTTTGGCGGGCAGAAACAGGTGACGAGGCACTGTAAAACGCAGTGAATGTCTGCTATGAGAAAAGATAAAAGTAAACAAAAAAAGAATAGGAGAATTCAAAAGATGAATTGATATGAAAGAGTTTTTCATTCAAAGTGTCCTCTACAATACATTAACTATCAATTCCATGAGTGACATTCAAGGCTTGTAAATTAGCATAGCGCCAGCGCCACATCGGGCGTTTCTATTTTTATTCAGGGCTTCGCAGCTGGCAGTTGTAAATCTCGATTTACAGCGTCTTGAAGGTAGGTTTAATGGGGATCTCGAATATTATTGCGTTGAGAGAAAGGGTTTTGTTGCAAACT